TAAGTGTTCACAGTACTGAACTTTTGATGATGGTTCAGAGTTTTATCACATGCGGGGCAAAATTACTGAATGCAGATTTGCTGAGACAGAGAGTATTTTTTTCTTAATCACGTGGGCACTATTGGTAATCAAGAGGGCATGATTGCTTGATGCTGATTGAGCCATATTGCTGTTTGCGGCATGGATTTATTAATTGTAATGTAACTGAATAAAGCCATGTAAGTAACATTGATAACTGTATTCTATGAATAAAATGTTGATTGAATCTCTTTAAGAGTTACATTTTTTTTGACATTTGTGGCGGCATTGAAAGGGCCTCAGCGCGCGGACATCGTTCGCAAATGCAATTTCCTAAATATTTTGGAGGAACGAGGTACCACAGGAATCGGAGCAATTACTGTAAATTATATTACTGCTTTAATGTCTATGAGAAGAATTATTTTTAAAACATTTTTTAAGAATCTAAACTAGTGAGCAGCACTCTGCGAACAGTAGTTGTAAAACTTCTTAACTCTCCGACGTGTTTCGTCTAACTGTCGTGGACTTCTTCAGGAAGTTTGACAAGTTAGCACTAAATTTAAACCGTGGCCCCTACATATTTTTCTATCCTTGCTTTAAAAGTGTTCAAAATTTTTCACAACTTCGCCTGTTCCTGTTCGTAAGTCCAGCCAAGCCTATATGGTCATTGGCCCCGGTAAAAGCCGCTGACTATGGTTTATAACTACAGGCGTTTCGTGTTAACTTGTAAAACTCCCTCAAGTCTTCGACAGTTAGACGAAACGCGTCGGAGAATTAAAAAGTTTTAAAACCACTGTTCGCAAAGTGCTGCTCAGTAGATTAGATTTTTAAAAAATGTTTTTAAAAATAATTCTTCACATAGACATTAAAGCAGTAATATAATTTACAATAATTGCTCCGATTCCTGTGGTACCTCACTCCTTAAAAAAAAAAAAAAAAAAAAAAAAAAAAAGGAAGAAGAAAAAGAAGGAAATTGTTAACCATGCCACGACATAACGAACATTTTGGTTGTTTTTCCGCAAATTTGTTAAATCGAGGTTTTCGATATGACGAACCCTCGATGTAACGAACCAATTTCCCCGGTCCTTTGGCATTTCGTTAAATGGAGGTTTCACTGTAACACGTCACTCTGACCCATAACCCGTTTGCCCTTTAACTCCCACAAGTGACCAACATGTAATTTCTCCTAGTATAATATCCATACATTATCCAGCAAACAGGCAATGAGAATAATCAAACTTATCACTTAGAAGTTGCTAACACCAAGTTCTCGTTCCTCCAGCATTTATAAGGAAATGCGTGTAGCAGCTAAAGGGGAGAATTAACAATCAGATCTTGGCCGTCTCAGCTCCAGAGTCAATGTTTAACGCACAAAGCGTAGAAAAATTATGAAATTTACTGGATAACATATGCGATTGCCAAAATATATTTTTTTTAATCGCATTTACAAAATCTTAACTTGAAAGATTCATTTGATGGGCTTTGTAGATGAGCTTCAACACTTCATTAATTTTTTTTCGAGAGATTATAATTTCTTGATAATTTTTTTTCATCATCAGTTTTCTTGTCGGAGGGTGTTAATGGAGTTATCCTACAGCCTTACAACAGCCAAAAATTTAGCCGTTAGCCGTAGATTGGCCAAAATTAGCCGTAACGTTACGTTAGCCGTAAAAGCCATCACCCCATTGCCACTGTCTTTCAGAGGAAGGTTGCTTTTCTCTATTTCAAAGAACATCAATATCGGCTCCTGTATCAACTAAACTGCTTCTATATTCATCTTTCACTAATTTCTTCCGATTAGAAATGAAAGCACATCTGTCTTACCTCCTACTGTAATTTTGTTGGGATTCAGTGTTGGACCTTAAAGAGAAAAACACAAGAAATTATCTAGATGGAAAATGCTTTTGTGATGCAGATTATCTGAGGCCACACACATCTGAATCTTTCTATTCACGTCCTGACAGGATTTTGAACTTCCAGCTGTCTCAGTTAAATACTTTAAGCAATGGTAAAGGAAACATTGCACCTTCGTCGGAAATAACTTTTTGTGATGGCAAGTATGAAATTACCACGTGCACCTTTTCCCTTCTTATTTGCCTACCTCAGCAACTCCTACTTAAACTGACATCACCTCAGTTTGTGGCACACAACTAGTATAAAAGAACTTTGCTCCCCAGGATACCGCTATAAATCATATGCGTACTTGTACTTTTAAAAAAACTCAAATGGTCCCAAATGTTTACTTACTTCCGACAAATAGGTGCATTGTAAAAGGATTCTTGCCACAGTCATTTACTGCGACACACGTGTAGATCGCTAGAAATCCGGTACTCGTACTTTTAAAAAAACTCAGATGGTCCCAAATGTTTTTCTTCCGACAACTAGGTGCTCTTTTTATCATTTACTAGGTATCTGTAGGGTTTTAACCTCAGACGTTGATGATTCGATGGAATGAGCGTCTGATTGTCTTTGAGCCAGTAATACCTTAGTTTTGAGGTCTGACCATAGGTTCTGATCTGGCAAGTGAGTTTAACATCCTCTCCGCTGGTCACTTCGATGACTTTTATCTCGTTTCTTTTCTTTTCACGAATGTAAGGAACTGAAAAAGAAGCAACATTTTTGTGAATTCCACCCGAAACACCAAAGATGCCCTCCTGATCCATCACTAAGATCCACATTACTCGAACACCTGCAATTGCAATATTAATGCTTGGAAGAGGTAACGGTAATCCTATAAAAATTACATATTAAATTCAGTGTTCTTACTAACGACTCCCTCATCAGGCGAGCAAACGCGGAAACAAATACTGGGAACCGATGTATAAAGCTTTTTCCCTTATAGAATCCCCTAAAATAACCCTGACGCAGAAAATGCGGCAACCCTGTGACGCATCTATCAGCTGACTGCGTCACTTTCCATCGCCAATACTATCATAATTATATACTGACTAACAGGTCACATTTCAGAACATACGTTATGAAGTTCTCATACTTCCATAAACACCGGTAACCTGCCCTGTATGATGATTTTTCCACTTCTGTCAATTCCAGTTTTCCAATGAAAGAAAATTCGCAAGTCCTGGTGTTGTACGTTAAAAATCTTAATTCGCGTTCTATCAATCTTTATTCCATGTACCTGATCAATTTTTGAATATAGCGATGATTTGGCTAGTGAGAGCCTACAGGGTAAGCAAAAAATCTAACAAAAGCTGTCAAAAAGTCGATGATACCTATGTAACTGCCACTGGCGACTAATACTAACTAATTCTAGCGCAATTTTTAGCGCGGAACAAAATGACACGGTACGGTTAAAACTGCAAATAAAACAGCGAACGATAACTCTTACAATATAAACTAGACTAAATACACCAGGGAAGCTACAACGAAAACAACGAAGAAAACTACATGATACAAAACTTACATTTGTTGCTATGTTATAGATCCTGCCTAGTGGCGAACAAACTGCACGAAGCGAAAAGAACAAATATACGAAACTACACTGCAAAACTGCACCAAACTGCGATGAACAATACGGTTAAATACATGCTTCGTCACGCAACGTTACGCAATGACACAAAGAAAGCGCACAATTAGCACTCTTGCACAAGAACAATAAACAAACGAAAAAGAATGTAAGGCGTTGCGACTTACAACCTGACTTGAACCTATTTCACGAGATGGAACAAGCTCGCTATCTAACTGAAATGATTTGATTTATGCTTCATTAGAATATAAATCTCTAAAAATCGTCTCTCAACGAGTTAGTGGCTGGAACTCCCATCGGCCAACGAGTTGATTTTTTGGGGGTTAATTAGTAAACAATGATAATTTTTTTGCTTTGTTCTCCTCTACGCCGTCTCTATAGAAGAGTGGGTAACCGGCTCTTCCATTTGGTCCTTTTCTTTGTTTTGTGAATTAAGCAAAAATCTTGGTCAAATGAATAAAGGGGGTTAATTGCTAAAGAAACTATAGTGCTGCGTCGGTGGGAGAGTATAGCGTCAATCGCTCTGACGAAGGGCTAACGCTCGAAACGTCAGCCTTTAAACTCATCACGGTGGCCAATTCACATTATCAACTCAGTTGATAACACTAAATTACCCTGAAAGTCTTAGCCAGTCCGATTTAAATGAATGAAAATTTGTTGACGGTCTAATTAGGAGTTTTGGATTTTGCCTTTCACCACCCCTGCCTTTCAGAGAATTTGTTTTCTTTAAAGCTTAGGATGCGAACCTAGAACTTAATAATCGAAATATATGTTAATAAATACAGGAAGTATCTTTCAGTTTCATGTTCGCCTACGACATTGGGGTAATTGTTCAGTCGAGTCAAAATTTGTTTACAAAGATAAACGTGAATTTATTCGACGTAGCGTAACTAGAAAATCCCAAAATTGCAGAGAAAGAGACAATATCGGAAGCATTTTTTGGCGACACAAAGCACAAATTGATGATGATATACATTTACATCATCGAGTTGCTGAAATGGATCTAGTTTTTTCCCTTTCGAGTTTGTTTTGCAATCCTTAAGACTTCCAGACTCCTCGGTAAACAAAATAGTTGCTATCACAAGGACGTTATCATTTATGGAAATAATAGTTGTTAGCTGTTGATTTCATACTTTTCTTTTGGAAGATCGTAAATCCCCGTCTTCATAACCTCCTCTTGACTAAAAGGCACAGAGTTTGGCGAAAATGGAGTGAGTCTTTTGAATGAAACCAATTTAGATGCAGAATGCAGTCAATTTCCGCTTGAATAGGAAGAGTCAAAATTACTAAACATGGCGCGTATCCGGATTTTTATTTTGAACCTGGAATTCCTTCGAATGCGAAGAAGAAGAAACGTGGACCATTATCTACTCTTTTTCGATATCAAGGGTATGATATAATGATATAATGGCCTTGCTGCCAGGCAAGTAAGGCGAATTCTTTTTTAACGAGCTACCTGAATGGCCATGATAGACTTATTCTAGTTTAAGATCATTAATTAATGTGCAGCAATCCACATTCAGTCTAAATATCTTGATATTGTTTCATCTGGGTACGTACACACGGTCATGTTCAATTCAATGACTAAACTATAGTTGCTTTAATATATGGATTAAGAGATCACGAGAGATTTTATAAAGTTTCTCCCTAATAAGGCTGAGGATACACTCAGAACAAAAATACCCTTATTCTTGACAGCGGATAAGAATGAACGTGGATTCACACCAACCTGAACACGCATCCGCGTGCCAATTATCCAGAAAGCTTAGGACAGCAACAAGAATCGCTTTGAACAGGAGTGCACTTAGTATCATGACGATGAAAATACTCCTACTTTGGGTGATCTCTCGAACAGCTTCCTTGAACAGCTTTAATTGTAATTTCGTCTTGAGCCCGTTAAGGAAAAGGAGATGATTGACTGTCAAATATTTTAGAAATCCAACACCCTGACAAAGTAGAATTTGGAGCAACGCTACAAAGATAGCAATTTATATTTGCCTACCTGTTTTTCATGGAGAAACAAATAACCTTGCACCGGATGCTACAGAAGCCAGCGGATTCTGACTCTGGCTGGATTCCAAGCCCTTAAGGTCAAAGATAATGTCAGTATTTGAAAATCATCGCTAGATCACGCACAGAGTCATACCACAACCAAAACATCGAGGTTACATTAGGTCAAAACTTGGCAGACAGTCAGTAGTGAACAAGGTCCCAACGATTCTTACTTATAATAATCCCGATATATTACTATAAAAACAAATCAGCTTTTACTATTGGCACGCAAATACAACTTGTTTTTAGCACATACAGTATTTCGGCTCTCGTCGTTTAATCTGTAAACTGATGTAAGTCATGTAGTAGTTTATGTAAGCCGCAGATGTCATATTTTGCGGTTAAAAATAAATATATATTCAATCACTCTGAAAAAACAGTCGAGCATAATTTGGTAGCCGTCGTCTGGTAACATTCAACACCTAATTAAATAATAATAATAATAATAAAAAAAAAGGGAACAAGCGGAGAGCAGAGTCAGTCAAGTTTGACATGCTACTGAATGCGTTCGCGGGAACAGCAGCGTGTCAAACCGAAACCAAAACTTCAGGGAGAACAGTTCAACTTCACCATTTTTTATAATCTATCTTAATTGGCTGAAGTGGTTCAAACAGTCAAACTTACTTAAAAGGCACAACTGAACAAAATGCATAACTAGCTTAATTGTTTCAACGAAACAAAATGCATAACTTAGCAAAACAAGTTTCCGATGCCGAGAACACCAGAACGCCAACATAAAACGCAGGAAACTGATATTAACAAGTTATAAGTACTATAAGAGTCGCTTCCGTTTGATAATGAGGAGGGTTCGCCAGAGTCACAGAAAGAATGACAGGTTTATTTTCTCACATAAAGAAAAGCTTCCCGAATGATAGACAACCGGCATACAAGGCGGAAGTCTTAAAAAACCTAGAAGCATATCTGCACGTACTCAGGCTCTTGTAATAATAAAATCTAGGTTTTTATTCACACCTATATTGTACAAGTTTTACGTGTAAGTAAAAGGCATGCGAAAATCATTTAAAAGGTATTAGGAAATGTTATCGCTTATGCACAATGTTTTCATATGGTTTTCAATGATTCCTTGAAGCTTAAATGTAAAAACTCTTGTAAGCAAGCATGCACACCAAAGCCTTGACAGTGATTTGTGATTGGAACGACCTAATTAAAACTCAGGCCTCTAAAGGCGCACCCAATGAATCATCTAAATATCAAAAGGATCAGTATTTGCGTTGTTGGGGTTCCTCGTTGAATGGACCCCTGCATAATAATCCCAGATCTTATCAGCCTTATCAATACTTACTAATCAAGGTTTTTTAAGAGGATTTGAAACAAGGGTCGTGAACTTCATCAGAGTCTTGAAATCAACATGGTATACCTTAGACCTTTCTGTGATGTGTTCATTTGTGATTGTAATTCAAGTACGGGTATAGAAATTGTTGCCGTATTTCGTCAACGTTTCGTGAGGTAATGATGTGTTTAAATAAATTTTCTACATACGTTCTGCCACAGATTTAATTAGGGAGTCACGACAGCTATGCCTGGGATAACATCGCTCAAAAAAAACACTTCCCTTTTGCCCAAGTATTTTTTCGAGTAGCGCATGATATGTTTGCTGTCTTAAACGGCGCCAGATCTTTTCTGTCAGCAAAACATGAGAGGGGAGCGTAGAGTTCGAAGCAGAAAAGTGGATAATTCGCCCCAGGGGTTCCCACTTTCAGACTGCGCAAAATTTTGGAATTTTATAAGTGATTATGAACGATAAATTCGTATCGGCACCATAATTTAGGGAGGTTTTGTGAACGCATTATCAGTTTACAACTTGTGAACCATTTCTGTAATCTACTTGGATATTTTCTTTTGAATTAATCGAGTCACACTCTCGGAATTTCATCAGTAATTTACAACGATAAATCCGTATATGTAACACAAGTGAAGCACACGTTAAACTTTCCATACGATTTTAGGAAACTATATTTGACTCTCGATAAATTGACCTGAAGGAAGGTTAGAATAAAATGATTGCTTTTACGACCGTACATTGCACCCAGTTTACATAATTATGTAGATAATTGCTTAAAAAAATACCTATTATTCAGAAGCAAAGACACGTAAGTAATATGCTTCTGCTTTATTTTTATTGTAAGGGGTTTCTTTTTATGTAACATATATCCATTCCTTTAATTTCCTCCTTAACCTGCCTGCAAATAATTAAGTTTTATGTTTTAATTCAAGAGCGAGAAGATAAAACAGAAGTGTTGCAGAGTTCTCTTTACAGACTGAATTCAGGTGAGAACATCAGTAAACTAGTTGATGTCATAAGCTCCTCCTGAACCTTTAATTTTATTGCCCTAGTCTTTTTCACAAAGCCTCTTTTATATCTCTGTGTGCCAGCCAGTGATTAATATCTCAGTGAATAGATATGCCATATTTCATCAGTCTCTTTAAATTTCATCCTTAAGTTTTTTTGCATTTACTATTTTAAAATTCATAAATGGCATTCTCTTTTCATCCATGTTAAGAGATATTACACATTTTTTACACTAAAATCTGAATCATGAAGTCAACTTAATTTCAGTGAGTTTGAAACTTCATTGTACATAAGAAAACTTTACTGGAGTATGTTACATTTATTTGCTGTCTTTCTGGTACATATGATTACATAACCATTTAACTTTCAAGATTTTATTAGTAATTCTCTTTACTGTCTGCCATACAATTCATGTGATGTTTGTGTGGAGAATTTGGAATTGGATCAACCAATTATCCTCTAATTGATATTTTTTTTAAAATTCTCATTACTCGTCTGCTTGATATTGTACTGATTGTACTGATAGTGTAAGGAGAAATTCTGTCTCGGTCACTAGTGGGACTAAAACAGTTAAAATGTGGGATTTCATTATATTGTAATGATTACAAATTTCTTATGCTTTCAAATGTAAAAAAAAAAATTTGATGAGAATCTGATGTTATGGAACAATGGAAAAACCTGTTGCTGGTAGCTTATGTCTTTAATGTTTAAATATTCATGGGAAATGCTTTTCTTTGAAAGCAGGGATACAGAAGTTTTCGAAGCTGGTAGAAATAAGCTGTTTGCAAGAAATGAAAAGCAAACTGACAATCATACCTTAATGCTTGACATGCTTCACTCAAACATGTCAGTTGTGTGTACCTACCATTGTAGAGATGTCTTTCATGAAAATATTTTTTGGTGTGGCTGTTGTTCTTTGTTGATCTTTGTTGCCAAAAAAAGCTGGTAAAGGCACTCAACTTCAATTTTTATGTACACAAGGCACCCTCCAAGGTGGAAGAATAGAAGACCATAGACCAATGTTTACCAGGCACTTGCACTCACCACAATTATAATATTCAAGCAATACTCTACATATTTAAAACTGATTACCCGATGTCTTCAACCCATTACACCCTAATATCAGTATGCATATTCTCCATACTGTTCTCCATACATTTCCCGATGTGCTGGGAAGGAGAATTTGTTCAACAATCAAGAGGTTCTTCGGTTGATTACCATTTCCTTTATTCTCATGACCTTAATGCTTGATTTAGGGATGATATTGAAAGGAAAAATTAGATACTAGTCACTCTCTGAAATTAAAGTGTTAATAACTGTACACATTTTATGTGCTCCTTGCATTTGTCGGCAACAGTAGTTAAGATTGTTATGAAAGCAAACAGATGAACAGAAGACAATGAAATAAAGGAAACTGTAAACTTTACCCTATGGTAGAAGAAATGATCACAGAATACTTAAGAAAGGAAACTTGAATTGTGCTAGCCAATTTCCTCTATTGCCCTTCATGTTTTTGATCAAATAAAATTTAATCAGTTGTAGGGTTTGATTACAATGTGTTAAATCACCAGTGTGGACTTGATTCTTCTCAGATGTCAGCTGTTAAAAGATGGATACTAAAAATAGATGACCATAAGAAAAAGTACACATCTTGAAAAAAATCACACTAAAGTAGTGGCATGATTGATTTGTGATATTTAGAATGACAGAAGCAGGAAAAACACATAGAGCTTTTTCCTATTCACTAGTAAGTTTACTAGATTTTGAATTGTACATTCAAACTGTGTGAAATTAAATTTATCCATATCATGCTTCATCATGGTTTGTTTACATGGAAAAGTAATTGTTATTGTAGCTTCACAGATGTTTTCATTGCTGTCGCAACTAACATTCATAACAAAGTTTCATTTAACATAGAAAGTTTCAAGAACTTTCTTTCTTTCTCTCCAACACTATTGACTCTTTTAGGAGCACTATTAATTGACACCTGAACCGCCCGTAACCGCCCGTGCCACGTGGGGGACTTGCGCGAGAGACGCTTTCCCCCCTATCTCCCCTACTAAGCAGAATTTTGTCTCCAAACTTCCTCTGTTGTTAGAGGATCTATAAACCAATCAGAATCCGTTTTTTGCGCAGTTATTTTGATAACTTTAGGGGGTAGTACAGAGGCGTCATTTTATGCGTTCACAAGAAATGATCAACTACAAAGAAATGGCGTACGCGCGGCCGACTTTCAATATTTTCAAGTCGGATTTTCTGTTCCTTTCCCACCACTTTAGACCTTCTGGAACACAGAATGAAAAGGAAAAATTCATCGAAAAATAATGGACATCACGGTTTAAAGGCGACAAAATAAGCTTTTCGACAACATGCCGTAAAGCGAAGTAATTGTTATGAAGATTCAAAGGCACGGTTATTCACGTTTGAGTAATGATGTCCAAAAAGTATTGTTTAATCATTTTGTGTTAAAACGTAGAACTTTCAGTATTTTCAACACAACGCTGCGCAATATTCTAGCCGTGAAGTCAAGTAAACATCGATCTAAGCATGATGAATTCTAACACGTAAGAAATTCGTACGTTTTTCGGTTTAACAGAAAATCAAGAACTGTTTTGAATAGCTTTCTTCCCGAAACGTTCCTTGGTCAGTTTTGTCTTTCTCCTCATTTATAATTTCCATGTAACATGAGATCTCTCCATACACTGATGAATTTGCATATTCACTTTGAAATCCGATCCGCATACTTTTTTTGCACACGTGCGTAAAAATTTACTGATTTTTATCTTTTAATTTTAGAGTAAAAACTTAATATGCATCTATTGCTTTCCTCGTTGATAGTAACCTTCTAACATCAGCAAAAGATTTGTCAAACTTTAATTGTGTTTTCTCCAAAATTTTAACTTTTGGGTAGGCACGTGTTACACGTAGGAGTCAATGGGTTAACCCTTTGCATCCTAACATCACATACTGGCAGTATGCATATTCTCCATACTGTTCTCAATACACTTCATTATGTGCTGGCAGGGAGAATTTGTTTTTAACAATCAAGAGGTTCTTTAGTTTATTATTATTGCCTTTATTCTCATAACCTTAATGTTTGATTCAGGGGTGATATTGAAAGGGGAAATTAGATGCTAGTCAATATCAGAAATTAATTGTTAAAGGAAGCAGGTTATTAAAAACATTATAACTTTGATTCAAGCAGCCAAGTATTTGAATATGTGAGTAACATTTGATGTTTTCACATGTAACACAGGATGATCAAGCTGAAGATGGCCTCAAAAAGGAGTGAACTCGACTGTAACAAATAGGTCACTACTTAAAATTTGAAACTTGAGCACTTGGTAAATACAACTTGGCTTGCAATTCTGATGATTACAGTTTGATGAGGTAATTGAAATGTCAGTCCCCAAGCAGGAACCACCCACATGACCTGTATAGTCATAAGCTATGAGATACCTTGAGGCAAATGTATTTGTGTCAGTGGAACTATTGTAAGTACAGTACCACCTAGTGACAAAAATTAATAATTTCCTGTAAGTATGAATGTTTGAGAGAAGTTATAGTGGTAACCAACCCTTTTTTGTTAAAATGCATAGGATTTGATGATTGTAATGTATATCTCTTAGCTTTTAAACTTTCAACTTTGTATTAATTGTAACTGTTTACCATATTTATTTCTTTCTACCTCAAGTCCTCAAAAGTTGATACAGGTTATCTGATTTTCTTTGTTTGGCATTGTGTGATTACATAATTTTGCTGTGTAAGTTGCCACATTGTAACATGTAATATTTTTATTTGAATTGCATTTGCTCAAACTTTCATTAATGCATGGTGTTTCTTATCAATACTCATACCCAGACTAAACATTGATGTAAGGAATTGGTCACAAGATATGTGAGTTTTAAAGGGTGGGAAACTGGAAAAGCAAAGATTCCCCTTTAATTAGGACTGAAATTAAAGTGGGCTCTGCTATTTTAATTCATGTTTTTACTTTGACCTGCATGAAAGTTAAATTAATTGGCATCTGCATAATGCACAAAGCAAGAATATAAATGACTTAGCTAAATAGGTTATAAAATTGAAATAAGAAAGTTGTGCAGACCATATCTTGCCTTTTATCCTTCTCTGGATATTAATTTTACTCAAATAACAAAGTCACTATCAGTCTCTCTCACTCCCACTTTCCACTGAGCTTATGGAAAGATGATAACCTCAGTATTTTTTTAATGAAGAAAGGAAAGCCTGCCCTCTTACTACAGATAGTTCTTTTGTGCATCATTAGAACACAACCAGTATTATTCGTACATGAAGTTGATTGTTCTAGGTAGGCTAACCTATCAAATTAGTTGGGAGAATTTCTTTGTTTGACTCTATTTTACCTGACAAACCTAAGCTGTATAAATCGAAAATTCAAATTTATTTCTTCTCCTTTTGAGGTGTGCATCAAAATTTTGAAGTCATGGCAGGCTTGAAATACAGGTTTATAAGAAATCTGCATGTGTGTGTGTTTTCAACATATAAAACTGGTAAAAAGGTTGCTTAGCTTTTTTCATCAACACACATTTCTTTTTCTAAGAATCTTGTTTATTTGGCCTATGCTGAGTTCTAATTTTTCAAAAAAAGTTTACATTCTTTTGAATATTCTTAGATCTCCTAGTATCAGTTAATATTCATGTAACTAAAATAATTACATCAAATCTTGCAGATGTTTGGTACATTTTTCCACTGATCCTACTGACATTTCATCATGCGTAGGGATTTGTATTGGCTCTAAAAATATAGTGAAATTAAATATTTGTGCACAGTCTATGCATCAAATATTTGCAATAAAATATTGTATCCTTCTTAAAACTAGTTTATCAGAATAAGAATGAGTTACCAGGCACGAGTATGGCTTTCACAATGATAGTTTCCAAGTTTGAAAAAAGTCACTGCCTACAAAAATCCTCTGTTCCTTTACCTTGACAGCCCAACCTCATCAAAACATTGGCAACAGGAGTGATTAGCAAATTAACAATACAGACAAGAGAGCCTATTCCCACATATACCCTCCTCAATCCTGTTTGCTTACTATGGACACAACATTTCAAACATGATGTATGTTTCCCTGACTAATTATTTTGTAATGGTGTTTACAAATTGTGGAAAATAGTTGGGTTGAAATATAATATAACAACTTGCCAGTAGATAGTCAAATGAATACTTTTAACATATCCATAAAATTTATCGTTGTGTTTCATGTTAACAGTTGCAATAACTCTACCTTCCAGTAAATTCAACTATTTGCAAACATGAGAAAATACCATCAAAAATTTTTCAACCCATTTCATATAGCCAACAACATCAACTCACATTTAAACTAAAGAGAAAACTTGATTGATGTTTGGAATTGATTGCTGTGATGTAAAAATGAAATCCAGGTATTATCTCAAGTTTTCCATAAAATATAATGTCTTCATCATCGAATCCTAAGTCTCTCTTTGTCATCGAGTTTGAATCACGACATTTTAGCTCTAGCTTGTCTTCTTTTAAAGCAAACTTTTGCAGCGTAAGAAACATGTTAGACAAATTTCATACTTCATTAGCTCGAGTTACTAAGATCATGGGCAGTTGGCTTAAAGAAACCTACATTGTAAGTAGTTACATCAGAGGTTACGGAATAATTTAACAGAAAGAATCTCTAAAACGCGCCGTGTATTTCCAGCCAGAGGACAATCATGAAACAAGCAGTCGTACCTGGAAACTTCAACAGAAGATATAAGAGAAGCCCATACGATTCTGGCGTCTTGATTTACTAATTCACTGTTATCACGTCTATACTCTTCAATCGACTGGTGATGTCTGGACTCGAAGTAGTTTACCGTCGTTTCTTTCAGTTTTGGCTCATTTTCCCAAACCAAAATTATCAGTCACGCTCAAAAGAATATAATTTCAACTGATGCTGACATCGCACACTTCCTCTGAAGAAGAAAAGATTCTCTATCTTCGAAAATTTGCTCATCGACCACATTAAGAACCACAACGGAGGTCCTCAGCTGCTTGAAGATACCGCTGACTAGAATGCGTTTTATCGCAAGTTGTGAGAACGTTGTCCCCGGGTTCGAGACCTCGCCAATTCTTCCCTTCCCTCCCCATCCCCCGGACTGGTCTCTTCATCCCCTTGAAGAAACTCTCCTACAGCCAGTGCTGAAGAGTTTTATTACAGTTTTTATTTTTATGAGGGGCTAGAAAATAAATCAACAAGAGCTCCGCTTTTAGGCTTGGCTAAATCTATATATTAAAGAGATGTCTGTGACAGTCCATGACGAATAAACTGACCATACACAATTCAAACCTTTCCTTCTCCATGCCAAATTACCTATTACATCTAATTCTCCTCTACATTCCCCAATACGGAGGACTGACGACCTGGAAATAAAACACAAATATCACAGGTTCACGGTGCAAAAATAACAAACTTCTCAAATGATGTACTAGATAAATATGTCAAAGTTCACGAGTTGGGCGACGTGTAGCGAGAGTGGGGGTATGGAAATAATTAAACCAAGGGTAATAGAGGTGGTAATGAAATTCTCCATCACCAGACAACAATAACAAAGTCCATCTAACCTTTATATAGGTGGAGAAAAATCTTGCCTACGTTATTGTCTCGAATCTCGAATTTCTCTTGGATCTAAGCTGGAGCCCTGAAATCTCCAAATAAAACTTCTTTCTTAGGGATTTCCCTCAAAATTCTACTTCAGCCTTTTTCTATTCCCTCGTGCTAAAAACACTTGTTTCTCACAAATCCTTGACTATTCTGAATACAATATCACTACCAGCCCACTTACACCGAACTCAAACGGTAGTTTTGGTATGGAATTACGTTGCATAACAGAAACACCGTTCTAAAACATCGTGACAGCTTTATTTCATGAAAAAAAAGAAAACTGTACATACAAACCTTTTGATGTCACAAGCACCATTAGAATCGACGACTGCTTTTAAATTTGTATACGAATATCTCGCCACAGCATTTGGCGTGAAATGGCTGAAATGGCTTCTACCAAGAAAGGATGAATTCTTGCTGCTATTGTTGTGCTGGGATGTTTTATCCTCGAAAAGTATTCCTAGGAGATTCTCTGGCAAAGTGTTAACCTTCTCATTTGACAAAGGATTTCCTGTTATTATAGCCAACAAATCTTTTTTCTTCATATTTTGCATTTTTTGTATAACGCAACTTTTTAGCCGTATATTAACATTTCAATGGAATATACATGTATCCACATTATTTCCTTTTCATCAAAATTTGATCTTTTTTATCTCCATTTTCAATTGTCGCCACGGATATCTCAGAAAATGCAGTGACCATGCGCAACTGCTTTACCATGGATGGAAATGTTAAAGAAATCTCCAACAATGAACCTGACTCTGTGACCCGTTTACGAAATTCATGGCACTTTAAAAAGAAACTGCAAAATTACTGTCTCGCATTTCATAACTCGCCAGTAATGTGTGGCTGAGTTTAGGCTGAACAGCCATACTGAAAAAGAAAAAACACAAACTTAATGTTAGAAGATGAGGTTTAAAGATAAGTACTTCCTACAAATTGTCCTGAAGGTTGTCAATGTCGTTCGCAGAGTCCTCGTCCTTTTTGACAAGTGGTCGTGCGCCCCTTCAGGGAACTAAATTATCTGGTCATCCGACTTCCTTATGAGCATCTTAAACGCAAGTGTAAAGATAAACTAAAATTCTCGTCACGCCCCGCATAACGTGATTGATTCGCGATCGTTTGCTTAGACAAGTTAGTAAATGGCCACTGCATGGATGTTACAAAATTGCCATTGCAAGTCAGTAAGTTGCCAGAGCAAATTACTTAATCAGGGGTCATCGCAAGTTACTGAGCTGCACCTGCAAGTTATAAGAATACCACAACAAGATATTAGAGTGCCATTAGAAGTTAATAAGTTTCTATAGGGAGGTACTAAAATAACATGACAAATTCCTAAATTACCATTGCAACGTACTACATTGCCACTGCCATTGGTTAGCTGCTGGAGTAAGTTACTAAATTGCTAATGCAATTTACTAAATAGCCATTTCAAGGTACAACAATACAAAGGCAAATTCAGTCTTAAATTGCCTTTGCAAACCGTACTAAATTGCCACTGCAAATTGCTCAGTTGCTATTGTAAGATACTGAAATACCATGGCAAGTTATCAAATTGCTTTTGCAAGTTACTAAATTACCATGGCAAGTTATAAGTGTCCATTGCAAGTTACTAAAATGAGATGATAAATTCCTAAATTGCCATTGCAACATACTACATTGCCACTACAAATTGCTTAGTTGCTGGTGTAAGTTTCTAAAATACCATGGCGAGTCAATAAATTGCTAATGCAATTTACTAAATAGCCATTACAAGGTACAGGAATACAAAGGCAGATTCTTAAATTGCCTTTGCAAACTACTAAATTGCCACTGCAAATTGCTCAGTTGCTATTGTAAGATACTGAAATACCATGGCAAGTTATCAAATTGCTTTTGCAAGTTACTAAATTACCACTGCAAGTTACTAAAATAAGATGGCAAATTCCTAAATTGCCATTTCAATTGCTATTGCAAATTGCCAAGTTGCTATTGCAAGTCACTAAAATACCATTAAAAGGTATTAAAATAAGATAGCAAATTTCTAAATTGCCATTTCAAAGTTCTCAATTACCACTGCAAATGACATGTTACTAAAATACCATGGTAAGTTACTAGATTACCTTTGCAATTTACTAAGTTACCATTGCAAGTTGTTATGTTATCATTGTAAGGCACCAAGTGATGCCATGCAAGTTTAGGTTGCAATTGCAAGTTGCATGTCATTATGTTGCCATTGCAAGTTACCAAGATGTGGTCCGAAGTAAGCAACTTGCACGCCAAGTTACGAAGTTGCGAACCAACAAACAAACAAAAGAAAAAAGCACAGTCAACGGTAACGGTTAAATTCAACTTTCCATTAAATTATCGTTAGGAGGGTTAGTTGGATAACATATTAAAAAAGCTCACCAGGCTGTTGGTCATGAGTTGGAAGAATTGGAAGAGCCTCTGTGAATTACAAAGAAAAACCCTCAGTATATGCGAGTGAACTAAATGGCATTAAGTGATTTTTCTTGAAAATACAACCTAGACAAATAATTTCATCAGGAATTAAAAAAGCATACACTGAGAGAGAGTATAAGCTAACAAACTCTGTATATCTTTAACCTTATTCACACATTTCCTTATTTTCTATACATATGTAGTTGTTTTTATGGTTACCCGTTATTTGCATTTTATCACTCGATCATAATCTTATTTTATTCAAACTACCATTAATGCTGGTCATGTGGCCGGACTATATCTCTAACAGTCATTTCCATCAACCCCTTCAGTGAACATGTTTCACAACATAGGGATTTGTATGAGGAAAAGTCCAACAAATTAAAATAAAACGAAACAAGCGTGTCTCTGTTCAAATACCAAAACTGGTCATCTGCTACCTCAATCAGATTCAAAACTAAAACCAGTTGCGACTTGGTCACCCTCGTTTTCCCGCGCTTCATGCAGTTTGCTTGTTTTTACTTCGAGTTCGCATTAGATGCCTGCCCGTGATATTTTTCTTCCTATGCCAGTTTGGCTTTTGAGATTGCTTTGGTTTTGATTTCACGACGCTCAATCGAAAAGTGCTCTAATGTGACATACCATACGTACCTCCTTTACCCACAGGACGCACTTACAGAGGCTGATCCTGGTAGAACCCAGGACATATGTCACCTATGACCCCAACGTTACACTAGGCCTATTACACCGATAATTTTTTTTCAAAGCTTGAAGGTGACCTGTCATCGGAAAGTGTTGGGTTCAAATTCTCACCTGAAGTCAGATTTCCCCCTTCCTACGTTAATTTGACATCTTTAAATTTACTTATTTTGTGTGAACATTTTTCCTCGATGGTTGTGTACTTTATAGCCAGTTCATAAAATCATTTTCTTCTTAACGAACCTGTCTCACAGATAAACCCGTTCCTCTGACTACATGACGCAGTCCTCCATCTTCCTTCATCTTTATGAGGATTCATGAGTACGCATTCCATGGACTGGTTATGTTTTGAGGGTTCACTGACATTCCAGTTGGTGTATCTGCGAGGACTTTTATCTGTCCAAAGGAAAGAGTCCTCCCAGATCAAGCCATAAAGGCCAATCCAAAAATCAGTGCTGGTTTCTCGAACGATAGTATTCAAGAATGCCTGTTCTTGCCTGGAAAATGAAAAGCCATAACCTCTTTTAGTTCGATTTAGTTTTGGTAAATAAACTTGTCTTCCAATTTGTTTGGACTCAACAACTACTTAGTCTTAATTGGACACTAGTTGGAACGAGCACCCACTTAAGGGCAAATGCAATTATTTCATCGCTAATCAGCATCTTTAAAAATGCCTGAAAATTTGAAAACAAATCAAAGAGCATGTCAGCCTCGGAGAAAGCAATATGAATCAAAGTGGTTTAAAACGGTTTCGTTTCTCATTAAACGTCAATTCTTTGATTAACTGAAATTTCTACTTTTTTTTTTGTTGAACTGAAGGAAACAAAGAAATGTCTGAACGAATTTTGCTAAATCTTGATCTGATTATCAGCCAGGTACAAATTCATCTCTGGATAAGAGGATAAGGAAGCAATTTTTCCCATTAGACAATCACAATATCTGTGGGTACCAATTAGGACTCTAGGACGACGTGACAGCAAACCTATTTCAGGAAGTAGAGTTGTATTCTGCCTTCAGAAAAGATTGCACAGATGTGACAGCTTATCATAAGAACATTACCCGACAAGCCTCGAGCACACCTCATCACGAAACAAAACAAAACACTGCATTACCAGTAAGTTTTCGACATAAAAGAGAAAAGAGACGAGCTAAAATAACCAACCGTAGAAGGCTCAGACTAGAGCTGTGGTATAAACGCGTAACCTGTAAGATTAATAATGGTAGAAGGACCAAGAGGAGTCCAATTCGGTCTTTAATCATAGGAGTGATTGACAAAATCGGACGTCCGCGAAGCGGGAGTTCTATTTGTTAATTACGAGTATGATTGCAGAAAGAATTGGACGACATAAAGTCCTGTTATCAGTTAATCAAAACTATAACAAAATTTGAGAAAGAAGCTGGACATCATTTGTACGTTTTCATAAAAAATAACCTACAGTTAACTCGGAGAAATGCGAGTCAACAACGCGCGCACATGACGCGTTCTGTTCACAGTTACAAGGCCTGACGTGTTAACTGTCCCTTTGACTAAGACATAGTATGATGCTACTCTGGTTTAAAGATTAAATGAATGTGACCGAGAAGTTACAATTCATAAACCCAACGTTTCGACACTCCTGTCTAGTGCCTTCATCAAGGGTGATAAAATTGCTGCGACAAGAGGTATTTTAATATGCTCACTAATTAGCTGCCCTTTTTTCGGACGAGGTGTAAGTGGGCGTCAGATGATAAGCCGCCGTCATCACGATTTAACTGTCCTATTACACTGTCCAATTACAAGCATGACTCAAACATTGTGCGATTAGCGCTAAAATCGGGCTGGTGATAACCAATCATAGTAAATGCAAAGTTGCATACTTTGAAAGTTAAATTTGGAGAACGACCTTCAAAAGAAGGCTGATACGAAGGAGGGACACTGAGGTAAAGCCCGGCCCAGCTCCACTCCCCCGACCCATGTTCGCACTCCTTCCTCTCCTCCCTTAATGTTTCCTTCTATTAACCCTTTTGTCGCTCAAGTCCTTTGACCTTGTTCTATTTCCCTTTGCTCTTTTTTTTTTTATTAACGATTCACATCATGACGTTTCTTGTTTCAAACCCACAAGGTACTTTATTTCAACCAAAATCAATCAAAAATAACATTTTAACTATGGATGAAATTGAAACGCACGAGGAAATAAGTCAAAGAAAAAACACTTAAGGTGTGAGAACCGTTTCCTACTAACATCTCCTTGAAGCCGTCCATCGTTGCGTGACGAGACCAAACATGCTGCAGAAAAGAGCGGTCCCTTCGGTAAGGAAACTGGTTCTAACAACTAAAACGTTGATCCTTTCCCTTCGACGGTTGTAGAAAAAAACTAATCGAAACTGAACTGAAGAATTGAATTTGAACAAAGCCTGACAAACCCTTTTGTGTTTCTTTGAGGGTATGCAGTTTTATTCATTTATTCTGCTAAACTGAAATTCTGCTCATGGTTAATTTACTATGTTTGTTACATCCATTTTGAAATCAGTTGTGATCCTTGCAATCTGACAGGCTCTCATCGTGCGATTTATCCACGAATCGCACCACTTTATGTTCTAAATCGCATCTTTTTCCATGCCAATGAGACAACTTTATTAAAACACATCAATTATTCAAGGCTTATTTAAAGAAATCCATCAAATCGCAAGGAAAATTAAAGACAGCTTTTACAACTTTTTCCAAACCAGCTCATCACTGAATCAATAAAATATTTGTAGAGACTGAAATAATCTATATTTGAGCGACTGTATTTTGCGATTTCCAAATAGATGTAACAAAGTGATAACTGCTCTTCGTGTCGGGCAATTTTAGATGTCTTGCTGTTGTTTTTACCCCCTCGGTCTTTTTTCTCTTTTAACTTTACTTTTGAGTTCCTCTTTTATGAGGCTTTTTATCTACAATCAGTTGGTGCCAAAATCATTCCCAAGTCCTTTTAGGTCTGGCACTATTACGTACTCATTTGACTGGACTACGTACTTCGCTTGAAGTGAACCGATGTTGTGTCGGCTTTTCATCGTCGCGGACGAGCTCGCTCGGCCTTTCTTCACCTGCCAATAAAAGAGACCGGAAGCTATGATCAAGAGGACGACCACGCCCACTGGAACTGCGATTACAGCCACCGGGTACCTTATTCTATCAGTCCAACCCATTGACGTCTGCGTAACTGCTTCACTTTCAAAACTGATGGATGTCAGGCTAACAGTAGAACCTACACAAGAATGAACCAAACATATTTATCTCTCCATCTTAAGTGAATTCCCTCCTTTCCCCCAGCACTACTTCAAAAAACATTTAAACCTTTTTCTTAAAATACAAATTTAAAATAGGCCACAGAAATGACCCGCTAATGTCGAAATGATCTTCACAACTCGACCACAATTAAAATCAGGGCATAACTAAATACTTCGTAGGCCTGTCCCGATCATGCTCGTAAAAACACTAGAAATTTGCTCACTGAAATGCTAAAAGTTGCTTAAAAATTGCCAAAATTCCAAAACGTTGCTACCTAAAATTTGTTGATATCTATATATAAATGTTAATTTAAAGCCTTATTTTTCGCCTTCACAATAATTGCTTACAACATCGGTCGAGAAACTCAGCTTCAAAGGGTTGCTCGCAAATATGGGCGAAATTTAAGAATACTCTTTAGTTAAACGGAAGAAAAGTCATTTTAGCCGATTATCTCCTAAAATCTTAGATAAGGATCTCAATAGGCCTGCGAAATGTTGTCACGTGACAAATTATGTGTTCAAAAGGTTAACAAACGATTTATGAAATTCGTATAAATTAAAGTTTTATATGAAATCATTGACTTTTTCGTCCTTTATATGTGCTCTAAACTTATATTTTGCTCAAAAATTACTGAGAAAGGCAAGAATTCCTCGAGGTTGTTAGAACCGCAATAAGTTTCTCCAAACGCCAAAAGTTGCTCAAATGTTGCTGAACACAATCAGGACAGACCTACCCTCAAATATCAGATGAGCGCTCATACCTATTGAGCTACGAAGCGAGACAAATTTCAGTAGGTAGTTCAGCGTAAACTCGGGGATCTGACCATAAATAGTAAATAGTTGGTTTGATCTGAGGGTCACGAAACAGCAAGTTACGAATGAATATCTACAGGTTATTAGTAATTGAAGTCGTAGTAACAAAGAACGGTAAAAAATCTTGTTTCAACATGTTTACTCAATCACTTCTTACCTGAAGGAGATGGTGTAATGGGCCTTGTAGTCACTTTAAGCGAAGTCTGACGTTGAACAGTTCCAAGGATATTTTCAGCCTGGCACCAATATGAACCCGAATCAGCCACAGAAAGATTTTTCAAATTCAGGACTACCTTCCATTTTAGCCACGATACACTGCTAGGCGGAGGCGGCGTCTCCAGACGACTTTCAAACAAAGTTTGGTTTATTAAAGTGCCTAGATTGGTTTCATCTGGAACAAAGCGTTTGCTGAAATACCAAAAGAATTTCGTATTGATATTCTTGGAAAGGACAATGGCGCGCATCTGCAAATCGGTTCCAGCATATTCAGGTTTTTTCTGTCCCCAAATAGATAGGATCTGAGGAAGACTTCGAATATGCTCTATGAAAAAAGACAAAACAGAGTAAAAGCCAGATAAACGTTAAAAACACAATCCGATAGAGACTTTCTTGTCATCAAATGTTTCATTTTTATGGCGGTTGGCCATTGGTAAGGAAAATCGTTTTACAGGTTAAAGCGTATCCCACCGAAGTAAACTCAGCTATTTCTATCATATCAATTGAATTGTCGACCACTGAAATGGGTACCAGCTTAGATGTGAATATCTCACGGCAATCGCGGATACCGCAAGTTGAATTTGCAGTGATACTTTGAGCCGCATTCCTGAGCATAAAGTTAAATCAGGTAAGGGGGGCTAGATTACGACTGGCGCATGCGTAGGCATGAATCCAAGAAACTGGTCAAAAGCTCGGACCGTTAAAACCCATTCCTGGCATATACAGTAAAACCTCCATTAAGCAGTCACCCACGGGGAATGGTAACCGCTTGGTACTGGTTGACCGCTTTAATACAGGTTCCACAGAAAAGGAACACTATAATAAACGCCGTTATATGCCATAACTAACCTCTTGATGTACAAAAACTCGCTCAAAGACATTAAAAAAATTGATTTCGGGAGAGAAATATGGATCAAATTTTAGTTGAAATAATATTCTTAGTTTTATTTGAGTAGTTCCGCTTTAGTGATCGTTCAACACAGGTGGAGGATAATGAAAGCAGGCCGTTGTGACTTACTCTAAGGTGACCACGACCGCTTAAGAGAGGTGACCGCTTAAAGACGTAAAAATTACAGTGATCAAAGGGAAACAAATTCGGGTCTTCGACAACCGACCGCTTAATACAGGGTGACCGTTTAATACTTTGCTGCTTAATACAGGTTCGATTGCAATTTGTTCAATCCTTGGACCAGAACAACATGCGCCACGCGCCCACGCGCCTTCGCGCTCACACGTCCTGATTCTCGGTAGTTACGTTGGGGAACAAAGCCACCTTGACAAATATAAGTGGTTGACTAAATCCACCTATCCAAAAAAACAAACGTAACTCAATAATTGATTGCGTCAAACATTACATCGGTAAAAGGTCTACCTCAAACTATCGTTACCACTACCGAGCCTATTTTCACAGATCCCACGTAGGAAATTAGAGATTACGAGAGGTTGCGACAGAACGTTAGCGCGAACCTCTATTACAAGTCGTCGCCGTTTGTCACCTACCCTTCACGTCAAAGACGTACGAATGAGTCAAAGTACCAAATGAGTTTTTCACAACGCACGTGTAATTTCCTCCGTCTGCGACATCCACCCCGTTAAAATGTATATTATAGTGATAATGCCCTGGTGTTATCGTTTCGTCAGATCTGTGACCACGATATATTTCTTTACCCCTGTACCACGTGACCGTCGGAGTTGGTGTTCCTTTGGCGTCACATAGTAGTTGGAATTTTTCTCCCTCCGTATATTCTGATTTTGCCTCCGCCATTTTGTCTGGATACAGAAAGTGGGGCTTCACAGCTGTAAAAAGTGACAAATAAAAATAAGTAAAATCGAAGTAGCGCGACCAGTTATTATTTCTCGCCTAACCGGGGTAGGGGGGGGAAGGGGGGAAAGGGGGCTTCGGAGGATTTTGGGGGGATTACATGGTTTTCCAAGAGAACGGCGAGGGGATCAGTCGTCACCAACAGGGTACAAAGGAGGTGGTAAAGGAAATTGACGCGCGCCTGTGTGACCCGACTCAAGCCTCCCGCGCTTTCCAGTGTGGCCCGACCCAGCCTCCCGCGCTTTTTCGGTGTGACCCGACTCAAACCTCCCGCGTTTTTTTAGTGTGACCCGACCCAAGCCTCCCACGCTTTTTCACTCCGCTACCACGACCTCCATTCGCGCCGTTGCCTATTTCACTCCGATTTACCAACTGGACGCCTTGAGCAAGGTAAAAAATAGGGTTGATCACACATACAAAAATACATATGAGATAATTATGAGCTATTAAGTTTAATAACATATCAATTACCTCCTGAGACATTTGTAGATGAAACCGTTGGATCTGAGCAAAGAAAAAACATCTTGAATATATTATATCTATCCTCTATCAAGAAAAAACCTCCACTGCCACAAAAAATATTTAGCATATAACCTATTCAGACGTTGATTTGTTTTTCATACCCTTTAGTTCCTAATTTTTCAACTTACTCGGCCGGAATAAATTTTCAAATAATACGATTTTCCGATAACTCTGCCCTTAGATGTAAAGTGCACCACTTTTGTAACCTTTTGTCTCTGAAGTAATATTTCGTTGAAGAATGCTGAAAAAGTCGTAACTAAAGCATGGATGGGTGTATCAATGTTTTGTTAGCGTTATGTTAAAATTTCACAAGAATTAACGCATTTTACTGTTTTTTTTTTCAAACGTGAAATGTAACCTTTGTGGCACTCGTTGGGGTAAGGATGCATTTTAGAGGGTGATCGGCGTATTCCACAGCAATTAATCGATAGATCGATTGCTAATACACACCAATAAGTTCTCTCAACTACCCTCACAATTTACAAACCAGTTTTATGAACGTTTGAAAAAATCAGGTGAATGTATATGCCCTTTCATCCGTGGTCAAGATTGACAATTCAATTTAAGTCCTTGATATGGAGTTTTGAACTTGACAAGTCCACTATGACTATGCTATTCAACATTTACAGCTAAAACTTTTGTGACATATAGTTCCATGTCAATTATTTATGCTTGCAAAGTTTCAGATTTTTAGCTTTTTTCGTTATCCTTGGCAACCATTTGACCAACATACACCCTTGACTGTACTGCGGGTTACAAGAGTGCCACTTTCGCTAGATTTTTCTCAAAGGGAAATTCCCATTTAAAAGCGTCGAAATTAAATAAATTTTGGTACAAAAAATGGCCCTGCGCTATGCTTACTGTTACACTCATTTTAAGTTGGTGGATTTAATTTTCTAGTGCTGGGATCAACCAAGTTGATCAATTAAAATTTAATACAAACCACAGTTAAACCATACGAGTACATACACTTTATTAGGTAGACAGTAGGTGTCAAAATTAATTTTCACCAATGCTTTTGAACGTGAGAACCTTAGAAAATGTAGAAATTGTTGTTTCTTTCATGAAGATTGTGTATTCAGTAGATTGATGTATTTTATTACTCTCACGGTCCCCATCTATACCGTTCGTTAAATTGTGTTCCTTCTTTTTCGGTCGTTTGGGATATCGCGCTATAACAGAAAGGGAATATCAAGCTGGCTAACAGCAAATTAAGCTCGCTAATTTGAAAAGGAGTAGATGGGCAATCTTTAAATGGTAGGAAAAAAAACATGATTTTAAGCGACTTCTATGTAGTACGATAGTATGGTTTCCAGCCTGTATAGTTTTGGAAACCTTTTTTTTATCCCCCATCTAATACACACTACCACGTGGATCCGCCAACCTCTCCCATTTTAGGTGACTTTATTTCATTATTCCTAACCCTGTCCCTCGCCTGAGGGAGAGTCTGATAATCGCTTTATCTAGGCCTCATTTCATTTCAATAATCAGAGCACGGTTTCGACTTGTAGTACAGGCATCGTCCATTCCAAAGAGCGTGATTACAAATGAAATGTTTAAAGTTGAATCACACGTTTGCGAAACTAACGGGATATAAGCTATCCTACTTCACGCTCACTTTTGCAGTTTCTTATTTAGCGATGGATTATTGGTAAAGATGGATCGCTTAGTTTGGATTTCCTTGTGCTCGGTTCAAGCTGCGAGATAACCTTACACTACACAATGACTCTTTAATCTGATTTCAGCACGTAAAAACGGTATTACCTTTCAACTGGGCATAGTTCAACTACATTTGTTCTTGTAGGATACATAAAAATAACCTCAAAGATTAGGGTGTAATCTTCACTGCCTAAAGTTTCATGTTTTATTAACACATCAACACAACTTAAGTAAAGCGCCCCTCTATTGGTCACTTCAGCGTCTACTATTTGCTCATGGGTGACCGCTGATGATTGCCTTCCGTATGAGCAGGCGCGCTGACATGGCGCGACATAGCGCAAACGTTCGAAGTCGAAAAATGAAAATTCTGCTAATTCACGAGTTTTTTATACTTTACTTCGATTTCCTTGTGAAATTGAATAGCTACTTATAAAGAATAGACCCCTGTGATGCTGAAAAATTGGAACTCTATGATACGTCCCATAATATTTCAAAGCTTGATTCCTTTCAAGTTTTTGTCAAGGATTGCGTAAGAACTACACGCGTTAAACTTAAAAAGCTGTGTTATAGAACAAATGGTGCCAGAGCCTACGCTATTGAGTTATGGACGCACCAGGGAGATTTGCGAAGCACTTAAGAATCTAAGTCGCTCTCGACTATCGCCTAATGGCTTTATGAGAAACTGTGAGAAAAACGATGAAGAGCTGGGAACAAGAAAGGCAGTCGATGAGTCCAATGAAAGTGAACTCGTAACAGCTGACTCCCTTGGTACAGAACGAGCTCCCTGGAAAGAAGAGTCGTTACAAGCACTGTAAAATTTATTTGCAGAAGAAGTATCGTTGCAAAGTGTCACCATGTCTTTGGTTCGAGAAAAAATCCAGTCTGACCCGATATTGTGCAAAGAAAGTCCAAAAAGAGTATAAGACAGGATCCGTGCGGAATGGCGTTACAGTTCCCAAACAGCCTGGCAAGCTGATGACATTACTCCATTACCTATTGAAGAAGAAACTGTGCCATTCGTGTCGGTAGAATTTTTGAAGACACAAGCAGCCATAAGTCCACGAATACGACTGAAAGATCTAAAGGCATATTTAGCGACAGCCATGCTAAAAAACTCATTGATTTATTTCAAGATATGATTGAAGGAGCGCCAATTTCTAAGCGTGCAATTTTGAAGCGATTGGCAAACGAAGAACTGCATAAGACGTTGTTTAATGTTATGTTTGTTCATTCTTTTGGAAACCGAGATGGTAGAGAATAATGTGTTGAGTTTGTCAGTTACTCCCTCCCCACCTCTCTATGAAGCGTTACGTTATAAACCGCTTTTTAAGGGCGTGCACCATCTGGACATCCACATTATATTGTAAGGGAAATGTTCGGTTGTGAGTTTTCAAGAAAGTCAGACTGTTTTATTCTTAGTTGTCGAGCCCACAAGAATAAAACATTGGTAAACTTGTCGTTTTTGCTAAGTAACGCGTTGAGTTTGTCAGTTACTGACTACCCACTCGACCGCGTGCAGCGTTACGTTATTTCAATTCAAATAATTGTTTCGAATATTGAATTTGTATTAAAATAAAATATCTGCAGTAGGAGGACAAATTTTCTCTCTTCCCTGTCTGCTTTTGGGGTAAATAGATGGTGTAGCCAGTAGCGTCAATGAAGCGGCTGTACAGAAGAGAAAACGAGATCAATAGAAATGAACTTTAATATTATCTCGACGACTTGAAATAGCGAAAGAGATTTCATTTCATAAGAAGCAACCGTCCCTGTCTAGGAATAATGATATGGGACTCGTGAAGTAATCGATAAGCCTTATGCATGATGACCTCATGTACTTAAAATTCACCCCCAAGCCTCACTAACGCAATTCATTTGTTGAGAATAACGATGATTTGCTGCTCTTGCAAGCAAAACCGTGTAGAAAAGGCCGTCATTTTGTTGTATGTTCGTGTGGTAAACGACGCGTAACATTTTGCCTCGTAAGGTTGCACAATGCATACCGAGGAGTTCTTTTATGGCGATGAAATCTGCAGACAATAGTTCGGCCTTGCTATACATGGGTTCAGCTAGGAAGCCTTTGCTCTTAACGACAAAATATATCATGCAATGTAGTGTCGTGGAATATCTGACAGCGTTGCTACATTCACATATTTCTGATAAGACGGTAACGATGCAGTTCCTTTCCTTCCTAATATGGCGTTACCAAAGTGCCACAAAGTAACACAAGTGGCACAAAAGTTACATTAGTGGCACAAAGTTATATGAGTGCCAAGTTACAGTGGTGCCATACGTTACGCAAGTGCTACAAAAGTTACAGAAGTGCCATTTTAGGTTACATAAGTTCCACAATGAGGTCACAAAAGTGCCTTTACGTCTCTTTCTCTCTTTCTCTCCCACTCCTTTCTCCTACCAATAAAGGGGAAATTACAAAAATTTTCAGTTTGCAGACAATTCCTCCAAGCTCTTACCTTCAACATTCAGCCTTATTGTGCAATTTACTGTTCCATATTTGTTGGAAGCAATACAAACAAACGTTCCACTGTCCGATTTAAGAACGTCCGTTATTCGCAAATACCGCGGAGTTTTCACAACATATCGATCAGCCGGCTGATGAATCTTTTTATGATTCTTATACCAAGTGTAGTTTTTAGCGTATTTCACATTGCACACCAGTTTCACCTCCTCTTGTCCTACTGGTTTCACGACCCTTGGAGGAGAAGATTTCCTTAAATCAGGCGCAACTGCAAAGGAAGAGAAAAGACTGACTTTAGCCCTATATACTTCTTATCATTGGAATATCAGGGGAACCTCCAGGTTTGACGTGAATTGTTAATTAAAGGGGCTATGTCACGCTACGTGTTCGCCAACTAGGTGTCATCTAAGGGTGTTGTTTCCCATCGTAATTGACAAGAAGCAGAGCGCGTGGCGGCATAAGTCGACGACCACAGGGTTTTTGGTCACAGATCGTATAAAACTCAACAGCAAAGGCCGCAAACGGCCCGTTCGTGTCACTTGTTTTCGATTCTTGATGATCGTGCGCAAGTCATGACGTATCCCGTTTAAAATAAAAAATTATAGTGGATGAGGAGCCAGGAAAATCATGCATTTTCCTTCACCCAGCGAGCTGCCGGTTTTTAAAAAACAGGTTTTTGCAAAAGTCAATTTGAGGAAGTTGTTTTTTCACAGCTAGTAATCTTGAACATTTAGACGAAAGGAGTAAAAGGCTTCATACTATAAAATATTTACACTACAACGCTCAGTTTTATTTTCAAAGATGACAGTTGCTGCGCAACTCTAAAGTCTGGAGAAAAAAGTGTACTGCGTATTGTATTTGTTGTGTCAAAGAAAGAATTTTAGTAACACTTATTCCTTGTGTGCTTACCAGCGAATAAATTCTCAGAAAAAAAATAATTGGCATTTAATCTGTGGCGGTAACCATAAAGGACTGTGTCACTGCCAGGGTTCGATCGTGGCCGAGTCTTTGCGTCATCAACACGATAAATTATGTTCTGACAAAAACTGGAATTGTCGTGGCGTCATACTGACGCAAAAAAAGGAAGAAACAAGCGGTGTTACCCTACATAGAACTAGTAAAAAAGTGGCAGGCATTAAGCAATAAATTAAAGTTAAATCGTGCTTTTGATAAAATTTTTGTTTCACGCAAGGAGACTGGAAATGAACACACGTCAACCGGTTTCGCACGAGTTTCTTCAGCCATCGATGTTTTCGCGTTTAATTTGCGCTTTTTTTTTGTTTATAAAATTAACAACATTAAGTGTATCAACGTCGACCCAGACCATTTTAAAAATAACCAAATTCAATTTCATACAGGACATATTACCCACTTTGAGAAGATTACTTTTAGAAAGAACAATTGTGACCGGGCACGAGCCCTGTTGACGACATTTGTTTGGAGGGGGGGGGGTGGGGGATGGATGAGGACGCACACGCACATGCGCGCTGATCTTCCACTGATGCTTGAGTTCGCTCAATGTGGTAAGTAGACCAACTGAGATAAACATTTCACTTCTCTTACTTCCCATATAGAGACCGACACCAATTTTTTGATCAGCCCGTTTAATTGTTATTCTTCAATTTTTGAAAGGAAATAAAAAGTAAAACACGAAGGTGATGATGACCACTGAGAGAGAAGATCACCAGGATCCCTATCAAAGCCTCCATGATCTTCGGCTCTTCGCCGCACAAAAAAGGGAACTTACGTTAGACATGGCCGATTTAAGAGAGCTTTCATATAAGGGCTTTTAGTACTATTTATTGATCACCACAGTTTCTACTCTTATTTATTAACACATTTATAAACCTTGCACGTTTGTTGCAGGCTGTGCTCTTGTATCATTTATCGTGAATAAAGATTCAACCACTTTAATGGAACAACACGAGATCAGAGAGACCGCTAGATGTGTGGCTTTTCTCGATAGCTAGAGGCAAATCATGATCCTGCATGATTTTAGAGTGGGCTCGATGGAAATATGCAAATTTTCCTCCCAAAACTTACCCAGCTGAAAAAGTTCTTGAATAATTTCGATTGCTGGCGTCTGCAAGATCTGTTCTGAAGCTTTTTTTATTGATTGCAATGAAAGAGAATAACAGAATTTTGAAACGTCGCACGGAACGAGAGCTAATTTTTGTTCAAATAAAAAAAATACTGTGAAAATTTAGCATTATTGAACGAATGACTAAGCTTTTCAGTCGACCAATCAATTGTTAAATATCAAAGTCCTTTAATTTTTTGTTTTCGCCACAACTGCAAATTAACTCAAACGATTAGAACGAAACGGCGACGGAATAATATAAAAGTTTGCTAATATCGCAATAAATTGGGAAATTGAGCTGAAATCGAACCAAAAATTGTAACACGACCCGCGAAATTCCGGCTTGTATGCTATTTGTGTCTTTTTTTTTAGAGGTCATGTTGTGAAAATATAATGTGTACGTGCTCTTTCAGATGCAACTTGTACCAAGATGCCTTGGATTCTGACAGTACCTCAAAATTAACCTGTGTTCGAACTTTCCGGTTACTCCGCTACATCATGGTGTAAAAATTAAACAACAACCCGTTTGTATTGTAAACCAATATTGAACAAAGCTATTGAAATTTCACGCACTACTTTGCAAACGAACCCATTGTTGATCGAATGTTCACAAAAAAGTATTGTAGCAAATAATCAAGAGTTTTGGACAATGAAGAGCACAATAACTTAAATTTCTACCATGCCTTTCTTTAAAACTTTTAAATAAATTGGACAATCGAAATCATTTTCGATAGTTGCCTCCAAGGATCCCACTGTTGGATGACTGTCAAAATAACGCTGGGAAATATATGTCTAAGTTTTTTCAATAAATATTATTACTGCCATTACCGGTGTGCGATAACAAAATTTGAGACGCAACAAAGAGCCGATAAGGTTTAAAAGCGAGCCAAAAATTTGCGCATAAAATTGTAACACTTCTCTTTGGTAAGATTCGAACACATTTGACTATCAGAGGAGAGTCTCACTCGACTTAAAACGGGGACTTCGTTTTTAACATCAAAATTCTGCTTTGGCGCGTTACTCATCGATCAAACATTTCACTGAGAATCTTAAGCGGCATGACCTGTCTCAGTGTCTGAATTCTATGATGATAAAACGCATTCATAAAACGCACAAAAGAAACACAATCTAGAGATGTACGTAAGGTTTGCCACACAAACCTACTTCCAGATTGTTGAGATTCAATCGCAGAAATTCCGGCAAGAATAAAGACGGCGAGAAAACCACTCCGGCGACGAAATGCTAGAACCATTTTCTAGCGGTAAAATATGCCTTTTACTCGAGTAGATCAGAAAACGTGCGGGCCACCTTCGCCTTGACGTCAAGCCCTGCAGGGGAATTGAACATTAAATTAGGATATTAGGAAAGTCAAAACATCTTACATCGGTCAAGCACTAACACAGTGTTTTTCCTAGAGAGATCGAAGGTGCTAGGACTTAACCACAAGACGAATTAAGAAATTACTCGACATTCTTCTGCTCTGTCGAGTATCCGGACGATTGTTTGACCGTTAATATACACGAGACAAAGTTTGACTTTGTAATGAACACAAACGTTCAGAAAATGAGATAAAAACAACACTGTAAATAATTTCTTTCTCCTTACCTTGCCTAAATAGGAAGTTGTAGAAGTGGACTTGTTGGTCTTAACGAGAAGTTAAAGTCATTTCGTCTTCAACAAGCGCCGGATAGATTTATGGCGTATACTCAATATTAAAAATTCCTTCACTCGCTTGTTCAGTTGTTAACGCATGAAGCTCTGGATCCCGAGGAAGATGGTGTTTCTGTCGAGCTCCGGAAATCCTGAGAGTTCAAACTGTTCAGGGTTTCACGCCAAAAACCTTGAAATAAATGAAGTTCCGCCAAAAGCCCATGAGAGCGAGTAGGTGGAAAGAGGGAGTTACTACATCTCGGGCGACGAGCTGGGGATGAAGAAATGACCGAAATACGAGTGGTCAGCGTGGAAACAAATTTAATACTTCATATAGAGACATATCAGTTGTAGTTGCGGAAAACAATATTGTTGTAAAGTCGAAATGTTAACAGTATACTTCGCTAAATAAAATGTGAAGCAATTTTTCAAAAGTGTTGATGGCACATATATCTTTTACCGCTGTATTAAACAATGGAGGTATCGGGAAAGGCACCAAGAATAATTATATTTACGTTTTGTAAAGCCAAAATGTTACCAGGTTATACTTCGCTAATTCAAAAGTTAAACAATTTTCCAAACGCTTTGACTGGAACAATATTTTTACTGTTATATTAACCAATGGAGGCATCGGGAAAGGCATCGGTGACACCAGGAAAGGCATCAAGAAGAATGATATTTACGATATGTAACTTGTTGTATGACGGAAAAAAGTATCTTGACTTGTTTAAGGCGTAAATCACAGTCAGTTTGCTTTTCACTTGAATTTTGCAATCTCGACTTTCGATTCCGGAAAAATGAAAAGCTAAGCAACTCTAAAAAAATTTCGTTCTAGATTTCTATATGTTTAGAGTCATTAATAAGTTTGTTTCCACGGCCTTTAGATAAGAAATTTTAAATTTCCATCAGCTGTGGTTCTTTTAGCGTTTATTATATATATTCAATCGCCTCATTTCACGTGAAAAAGGCATGTAAGAAAACAGTGAGCTTCGAGAAACAGCCAAGTTAAGGCTAACGTGTTTACCATGCTTAAATATAATCAGGGCCACTCGTCTAGGAGACCTTTTTTTAGAAGATCCAGGCGTTCAAATAATTCTGTTTTCCGTTCGAAGTGTTTTTTTCCTATTTTATTTAACAAATGAACTCGGGATGAAAACTTAATTTTCGAAGCGAACGGCAGGTGAAATGTTGTGCTGGTGTCTCTGTTCCCCCCACGTCTCTGCGAAAGGTACATCCAGACAAGCTGCATGGAAAAACTGACCACAGCTATCGTACCAAATTTTAAAAAAAATTCTTTTAAACGAACGGACGGAACTACGAACGGTAGCTGTAAAATTTCTTTATTCCCTGACGCGTCGTAGACTTCTTCGGGGAGTTTTACAATTTAAAACTAAACACCTGTATTTATAGGCCATAGTTTGTGGCTATACGGGAGCCAATGACCATAATGGCTTGGCCGGACCTACGAATAGGAAAAGGTGAAGTTGCGGAAAATTTGAAAATTTTTTGGCGCAAGGTGAGAGAATTCATTTGGGGACCACGGTTTTTGTTTTCTTTTTTCGTTACGCAGCAAGTTACAAAACATAAATATAATTCTTCTTGGTGCCTTTCCGGATGCCACCGATGCCTTTTCCGATGCCTCTATTGTTTATTACAGCAGTAAAAGATATATGTGCCATCAACACTTTTGAAAAATTGCTTAACATTTTATTTAGCGAAGTATACTGTTGATATTTCGGCTTTACAACACTATTGTTTTCCGCAACTATAACTGATATGTCTCTATATGAAGTATTAAATTTGTTTCCCCGCTGACCACTCGTACTTCGGTCTTTTCTTCACCCCCCACTCGTGATGTAGTAACTCCCGTGGAGGGAGTTACTGTGGAAAATTGACCTTCTCTTTTTACAGTTCCCGGTGCCATACTGAATTAGTAACCGCGCACACACGATAACGAGGCTGGGGTTGACTCGGCGGTTCTTTCAAATAGCTGATCTGCGAACATTTCACGTTCTAATGCACTTTTCAATGCGATTTCTCTCTTCAACAATATAGAAATTTCGTCATTAGATGACATCCAGAAACTCGAAACAAAAGATCTCAGGGAGATTTTAAAATCCAATTCAAAATCGACGGGGGGAATTAGAACCGACTTAGTGTCGAAAGTTTATGCTTTGCTGATGTGACGCATCCTTCCATCGAGTAGTGGAGAAAACGAAAAACGAAAGCAGAGCGACTTCAGATACGAAGCAACTATGGTAAGGATTTCAGCCCTTGGATGGTCGAGCGGTCTCCGGAATTTACCTGAGATGAATTTCATTCAGCTTTACGATTACCCCCTTGTTTCACGAGAACATCGCCACATCGTGTTGAGAGGAACGCAGTACAGGAAGCACCACAGAAGTTGTTCAGTATGGCTTAGAAAGCGAGGCAAAGGCTGTAGCCATCTCGGTAGAGGAGATTTGTTATTGCTGCTGTTGTTGATGTGGTATTTGTTGTTGTACCATATTCTTCAGTTGAAGTTGTTCCCATTTTGTTTACCAAGATGTAATTTAGTTTGCCATTTGTACATTATATCTTATGGGAAACTATACAATAGAGCCTATAGAACCACTTGATTATAACCCTTCTTTCTATCAACCCATGAGGGAAACTGTAACTAACAGATGTCATAATATTTTGAAACCCATCTGGCCCAAGACAACTTATGCTCGTGATACATTGAAAACCATTTCAGTTCGCGACTCATGGTAATTTATTAGGTGGCAAGACAGCATTGAAAGAATCAGACCAAAATATTAGACAATTTAAAAACTCCCCAAAGTGACTGATTCATGTAACTTCTCCCTATAATATCCAAACACTATCCAGCAAACAGATAATGATAATACGGAAACTCATCGAGCAGTAGTTATCTCGATCTTACATGAAATTCTCATAACTTATTTACAAGTAAATGTGTAGTAACTAGAAGGGAGAATTAAGAATCAGATCTTAGGTATTTAAGGGTTAAAGGAAGAGGACAGAAATGCTTCCTCTCTGCTACTGATCTCAACAATGTTAGTCCTTTACACACATTTAAGTTTCTGTTTGTGATAAACATTCAGTGAATTGATATTCCCATTCTTAGCACTTAGAGGCCTTCTGACACAAAGGTTTGCTAAACTAGTTCTTATTGCATTGTGTTAACCAATGTTATGATAATATAATTTTGAGATGTATAGAAGATATGTAAAAGATTGAGAAATATATCCAAATCAAGATATTTATTTTATACTGTTACAGTTACCATAAGATTTGTTTGAAAGAGAATCTTTCAAACCATCGAATTGTATGAGAAATTATTTTTTGCGAGACTTCTATCAAACTTTTTATTATGAGGACAATTTTGTGAATAATAAAATTTAGTGTCATAGTTCATCTTTGTGTCGAGAACTCTTTTAGTTGGTGAAACTCACTTTTTCTTTTTTTCAATTTGAAGCATCAAATTGATTGATACATAAAGCACAAAATATTTTTTGAGAGTTCCATGTGGCATCTATAGTGGATTACTATGCTATCATAAAAAACAAAAACAACAACTACTGAAAACTGCTTTTGTCACAGTTAATAAGTGAAAACTCTGAAGATACAGTGTCTTTGTTTTTTCATTAAAAGCAATTACTTTCCAAGAGTTTCTCTGCTAGGAGTGTTTTAGGCAAGCCATGTAGTAAACAGGTGAGCAGTACTTAACTTATTGACTTACTGCCGGAATAAAAAAAAAAACTCTATCGAACTTAAAACAATTCAGGTACCTAATAGAAAATTTGTACTACTTTTGCAACAATAGTTACCCTCATCCACAATTCATTGAGAATAAGATGAGTATAGAACGATAAATACTTAGCAAAAATACATGCCTCCTTGCGTTAACTTAAATAAGTGAAAGCTCGTGGGCAAACCATTGGGGCCACAAAATGTATTTGAAAAACCAAAAGCGGCACACTGCTTTCCTTTCTTTTTGGGAGAAAAATTAGCTTTATCGAGATTTCGGCTAGGACCATCCATTTTCCTTAAAAATCGAACAATTTTACTGCCCACGTACGAATTTCACCAACAGAGATTTAACACGAGTCAACCCCAGCCTCGTTCTCACGTGTGCGCGGTTGCATGTCCATTATGGCGCTGGGAACTGAAGAAAGATCTATTACATGGACACGCTTGGGTGAAACACGACAACATTGAAATTAACTTTTGACAGTAATTCATGACTTGTCAACCAGACTACTGATATATTTATTACAAAACTTCCGCTCGCAAATCAAAGAGACTTATTAAAACCGAAAAATAGACTAATACATGCTTAAATGGGGCACATTTTCTAATTTTTGTTCTTAACACTTTTGAATACAGGTAGCAACCATTTCTCCGAATAATCTGACATAAATTAACGCCAAAAAGCATTTAATTATTTTAAAGCTCGCATTAGAGCTATAAGCAGCTGGTACTTGATAGTACAAACAGACCATCGTAATGAGTGAATAAATAAAGAATTGTTCCTTTTATTTATTTTAAAACATTCAAACTAACTGAACGCTCCAGGAACCAATTTTTTTCAAGTTTTCAAGTTGAATAGAGAAAGTATTGTTTTGGTAATAATTATTTCAGGATGTAAATTTGTCCAGATATAAGTAACAAACAGAATATAACAGCAAATTTCATTCACCGCACTTCTTGTGGTCGGTAAATATTTTTTCGCATGCTGCAGGTGAAATTATGAAATTAAATGATATGTCGACAAATGTGAGTGTATGCGATAAAGCATCTGGCAAAACAACTCTAGGGCATCATCGATGAATTCTATAAACTTTATGGAACGAAGCACCAATGGCTGAACGCGTTAAAAGGCTTCCTGAAATTTAGGTTAATGATTTGATCTCTCTTCCTGTTCATACACCCCTTCATACATATGCAGTTATTACTTCTCGCTCGGAGACAAGACCATCGATTTCCTGCAGTAACCAACAACAGCTAATCGTTGATGATCTGTGGAAGTTTCAAAATCACCCCCGCATAGTTACCTCTAGAGAAATGTCAACTTATTTTTTCCTTGATAGCTATTGAAAGAAATGTTTCGACCACGCACCCCTCAATGGATGTATCTCAGCTATGATTGGTGCATCAAATACAGTTGACCTTTGTAACGCAATCAAAACGATCAGCATATAATATATCTAGATCTAGATGTTGTGACTAAAAACCTGCAGTCAAAGTCTCACCAAGCTCTGCCGCACGAGCGACAAAGACTCGTGTTGACGGAACTTCGAGTTGTAGCCTATATCACGATCAGCTAGAGCGCTTCCTAATCTCTGGCGGCTGTTTTTAGTCGCTAATCCAGTTGTGATCTTGAATACAACTGGAGCAGCGACAAGAAACAGCGAAGACTACGTGGCTGAGAAAAATTCGTATTACGACTACAATTACAAGTAAACACTACATAAGCCCCTTTATTTTTGAGCAAGGACATTGACGAAATGCGTAAAACTTGATTGAAAAAATAGGCTTAATCTTAAATGCACCATAAGTGCAAATTACCAGCTATGTTAGGCCAGCTTTTTCAGATTAGTAGAGTCGGATTATTGATAAAATCTCTTAAATTTCATTGGTTCTTGTCAGAAGCCCATTCTTGTTACATAGCGACAGCACAAAAAGTGCAAGGAGTATGTATGTGACAGCCCGGGTGCCAAAATCGTCTAATTGGAACGCCCCAACAGTTTATTGATTATTATTTGAATACAGATTTTTTTCGCCTTTTAAAATCTAGATTATTTGTTACATTCGCCAAAAGTTAAGCAAACAGAGTCCAAAACAGGCCGGATATATAAATAGCAATTGTGTGCCCTGAGAGGAACGATGTATCTCACTGAAGATAATGCAATAACCACTTCCTGTAGTTTAATCCAATTTCCTTTGGGACAAATTCTGCTCACGTTTCCTATAATTAATTACAGAAGTGTGCCCACCTTAATGACGATTTGCACTTGAAATTTAAAATAATTAACACAAGCTTTGTTTGACATAAAAAGTACCTTGTAGAAGTTGTTGCAAAGCTGCAGGCGGGAAGAGAAGTCTGAAGCTTGAAAATTACTCAGTGTAAAAGGAGCCAGGAGAATAAATGCAAAGTTGCATACTGTGAAAGTTAAATTTGGAGCACGACCTTCAAAATAAGGCTGATACGAATGAGGGACACTGAGGTAAAACCCGGCCCAGCTCCACTCCCCCGACCCATGTTCCCACTCCTTCCTCTCCTCCCTTAATGTTTCCTTCTATTAACCCTTTTGTCGTTCAAGCCCTTTGGCCTTGTTATATTTCCCTTTGCTCTTTTTTTTTTATTTTTTTATTAGCGATTCACATCATGACGTTTCTTGTTTCAAACCCACAAGGCACTTTATTTATTGAAATTGAAACGCACGAGGAAATAAGTCAAAGAAAAACACTTAAGGTGTGAGAACCGTTTCCTACTAACATCTCCTTGAAGCCGTCCATCATTGCGTGACGAGACCAAACATGCTGCAAAAAAGAGCGGTCCCTTCGGTAAGGAAACTGGTTCTAACAACTAAAACGTTGATCCTTTCCCTTCGACGGTTGTAGAAAAAAACTAATCGAAACTGAACTGAAGAATTGAATTTGAACAAAGCCTGACAAACCCTTTTGTGTTTCTTTGAGGGTATGCAGTTTTATTCATTTATTCTGCTAAACTGAAATTCTGCTCATGGTTAATTTACTATGTTTGTTACATCCATTTTGAAATCCGTTGTGATCCTTGCAATCTGACAGGCTCTCATCGTGCGATTTATCCACGAATAGCACCACTTTATGTTCTAAATCGCATCTTTTTCCAAGCCAATGAGACAACTTTATTATAACACATCAACCATTCAAGGCTTATTTAAAGAAATCCATCAAATCGCAAGGAAAATGAAAGACAGCTTTTACAACTTTTTCCAAACCAGCTCATCACTGAATCAATAAAATATTTGTAGAGACTGAAATAATCTATATTTGAGCGACTGTATTTTGCGATTTCCAAATAGATGTAACAAAGCGATAACTGCTTTTCGTGTCGGGCAATTTTAGATGTCTTGCCGTTATTTTTGCCCCCCTTTTGACTTTACTTTTGAGTTTCTCTTTTATGTGGCTTTTTATCTACAATCACTTAGTGCCAAAATCATTCCCGAGTCCTTTTAGGTCTGGCACTATTACGTACTCATTTGACTGGACTACGTGCTTCGCTTGAAGTGAATCGATGTTGTGTCGGCTTTTCATCGTTGCGGACGAGCTCGCTCGGCCTTTCTTCACCTGCCAATAACAGAGACCGGAAGCTATGATCAACATAACGACCACGCCCACTGAAACTGCGATTACAGCCGCCGGGTACCTTATTCTATCAGTCCAACCCATTGACGTCTGCGTAACTGCTTCACTTTCAGAACTGATGGATGTCAGGTTAACAGTAGAACCTACACAAGAATGAACCAAACATATATATCTCTCCATCTTGAATGAATTCCCTCCTTTCCCCCAGCACTACAAAGGTTGCTTAAAAATTGCCAAAATTCCAAAAAGTTGCTACTTAAAATTTTTTGATATCTATATATAAATGTTAATTTATAACCTTATTTTTCGCCTTCACAATAGTTGCTAACAACACCGGTCAAGAAACTCAGCTTTAAAGGGTTGCTCGCAAATATGGGCGAAATTTAAGAATACTCTTTAGTTAAACGGAAGAAAACACATGGTTCATTTGACGTCTTACCGAAAGTCATTTTAGCCGATTATCTGTTAAAATCTTAGATAAGGATCTCAATAGGCCTGCGAAATGTTGTCACGTGACAAGTTATGTGTTCAAAAGGTTAACAAACAATTCATGAAATTCGTGTAAACTGAAGTTTTCTATGAAATCGTTGACTTTTTCGTCCTTTATATGTGCTCTAAACTTATATTTTGCTCAAAAATTGTCGAGAAAGGCGAGAATTCCTCGAGGTTGCTACAACCGCAAAAAGTTACTCCAAACGCCAAAAGTTGCTCAAATGTTGCTGAACACGATCAGGACAGACCTACTCTCAAATATCAAATGAGCGCTAATACCTATTGAGCTACGAAGCGAGACAAATTTCAGTAGGTAGTTCCGCGTAAAGGGATCTGACTACAAATAGTAAGTAGTTGGTTTGATCTGAGGGTGACGAAACAGCAAGTAACGAATGAATATCTACAGGTTATCAGTAATTGAAGTCGTCGTAACAAAGAAGGGTAAAAAATCTGGTTTCGACTGGTATTGAGCTCGTCTTTGCCAAATGCGACAAGGGAACTTTACCTTCAACAAATCCCTCAAAAATTCTTTGAGATAGGCGTTGTGTGTTTTTTACAGGAAATAAAACGTTTCGATAATTCTGTTTGATACCAAAGTCATTCCCTCAAGCCAGAATTAAGCTCCGTTTAGAAGGCTTCTTGATACATGTTATATCGCATTTCAGTGTTTCATTTGCTCGGCAAGATGGAGAGAATCATGAAAGGAAGAGATCCACAAATACAAAGGTGCATCCAACGAAAATATGGTCATCCTTATTTGCAGCAACCATCAGTCAAGATTTTCATGAGCTTTTCTTATATTTAGTGCGCACGTGGTGTACCACGTGGCGTGTGCATGCTTAACAATTGGCACACCTGGCGACCATTCATAATTTATAGCCTGGAGCTAGGGGTAGAGGATTTTGAGGGTGGATCACATGGTTTTCAGGGGGAACAGAGGGGCAGCATTCGTCGCCAACAAAAACAAAAAATTGACTGCTAATTAACTGCCAATGAGAGGGAGTCAGGTGAATTTTATCGTGACGCAGACAAAATTCCTCCAAGCCCCCCCTTTCCAGGAAGCCCCCCTCCCCAGGGTGCCTCCCCCCCCCTTCCCAGGACGACGAATAATAACCGGTCGTTTAGATACGTACCAGAAATGTGAAAGATCGTGCTTCTTTTTTTTCTGAGATAGAGAAATTACAAATGTTATTTTAAAAAATGAATCATGTCCGTCTTTCACGGCTACACTTACCATCTGTGGTGCTTTCAGTTCGCTGAGCTTCATTTGGTTTTGCTTTATCTTCACGAATTAAAAAAGTGAAAAAAATAAGTTATGCTCGGTTGGAAACAATTTTCAGTAAATGATCCGCTATCATAAAGCAGTCACTTTTTTCAGTTGGCCCGCGTTTGATTTATTAACATCCAAGTGAGTCACGATACAAACACTGTAACTGAGTGCTGTAAACCCAAATCAAACCTAAGCCGCTCAGTGGCGCTAGCTCTTTCGAGCAAACACAACACGTAGTCGTGCAAAAATCGACCCTCCGTGATTCCCGAGACGAAGGGGACTCTCAAGAAAAGAAAGCTGTTTACAAGGGCTTCATGGAAAATGAATTACACCTAACGAATTAATCCTTTACCCCCTGACATCAGTATCCACATTCTCCACACTAATCACTATACATTTCCTAAGGTGCTGACAAAGAGAATTTGTTTGATAATCAAGAGCTGCTTTAGTTGGTGATCATTTCCTCTATTCTCTCACCTTAATGTTTGATTCAAGGGTGATATTATAAGTAGAAATTATATGCTAGTCACTCTTAGGGGTTAAAAGGTTAACAAATAAATTCCATGTTGCCGTGCATCTGTTCAGTAACATATCACAGATGACATCAAAATGTGGTAAGAAAAACAGCTGCTATGAGCACATCACAGAAAGCCCCTAAAATCTGATCATAATAAAGTGAATGATAACAAAAATTAATAAGAACTAGTAATCTTATTATAGTTTTACCTACCAATGTTTTGGACAATGATGTAAGCATGTTCGACTGCGTAACCAACAGCATTTCCCACAATGCAGGTGTATTTTCCTTCGTCCCTCTTTGTGACATTTAACAAAGTCAACTTCACTCCGTGGAAATCAAACTTTTTGCCACCACTTGATGGTATAATTACATGTTGGTCTGCATCTTCTTTATTCACGATTTCGTAGTGAGGACTTTCAATTGGACCGTTTGTCGAACTGTTGAAACTTGTAGGAAACCACCTTAGCCACTGGAAATGAGGCATGGAATCACTTAATGCTTTGCATGTTAAGCTGGCATTCTCTCCTCGATAAACTGTGACATTTTCCATGGGTAGAACGACTGGTTCAGCACGAGCTCGTTCTAAAAAATTGAAAAGAGAATACTGTCAATACTGTCAATGTAACCCAAAAACATCCATTGTTTCGTTACTTGTAATGTTTATTTTAATTTGACTTTTTAAATGGGATTTATATTGACCACAAGAGTTTGAAGATTCTTTTTCTCAGATAAAGAAAACCGTGAGTACTCTTCAGAGTCTGTGTCAGCTAGAAAAATTTGAAGGATTTTTCCTCTTACCATGAACGTCTACTTTGTATGTATGATTAATCCATCCGTATGAGTTGCTCACATTACACATGTATGACCCAGTGTCAGAGGGAACCAAGTCCTTCAGACTCAACCAGGTTGTCCATGGACTCAAAGACAGTTTGTGGCCACTTCTCCTTTCTTTAAACAAGTTTCCGTCTTTGTACCATTTCACGGTAGGACGAGGGTTTCCGTCAGCAGAACAGTCCAGCTTTACAGAGTTTCCAACGGGTACTTGAAGAAGGTTGCGCCTCATCTTATTTTGCGATACCGTAAATCTTGGAGCAGCTGTGAAGCGCAGAACAGCCACAGCATTTGAGCGTTGAACTTCTCGACAACTGCCCGGAAGCCACCCCTTACTAACACATTTCAAGTTAGAGTCTAAACATTATTTTATTCTAAGTGTTCTACAGTACTGAACTTTTGACGATGGTTCAGAGTTTTATCACATGCGGGGCAAAATTACTGAATGCAGATTTGCTGAGACAGAGAGTATTTTTTTCTTAATCACGTGGGCACTATTGGTAATCAAGAGGGCATGATTGCTTGATGCTGATTGAGCCATATTGCTGTTTGCGGCAAGGATTTATTGATTGTAATGTAACTGAATGAAGTCATGCATGTAACATTGATAACTATTCTGTGAATAGTGTTGATTGAATCTCTTTAAGAGTTACATTTTTTTTGACATTTGTGGCGGCATTGAAAGGGCCTCATCGCGCGGACATCGTTCGCAAATGCAATTTCCTAAAATATTTTGGAGGAGTGAGGTACCACAGGAATCGGAGCAATTACTGTAAATTATATTACTGCTTTAATGTCTATGTGAAGAATTATTTTTAAAACATTTTTTAAGAATCTAAACTAGTGAGCAGCACTCTGCGAACAGTAGTTGTAAGACTTCTTAACTCTCCGACGTGTTTCGTCTAACTGTCGTGGACTTCTTCAGGAAGTTTGACAAGTTAGCACTAAACTAAAACCGTGGCCCCTACATATTTTTCTATCCTTGCTTTAAAAGTGTTCAAAATTTTTTAAAACTTCGCCTGTTCCTGTTCGTAAGTCCAGCCAAGCCTATAAGGTCATTGGCCCCAGTAAAAGCCGCTGACTATGGTTTATAAATACAGGCGTTTGGTGTTAACTTGTAAAACTCCCTCAAGTCTACGACAGTTCGACGAAACGCGTCGGAGAATTAAAAAGTTTTAAAATCACTGTTCGCAAAGTGCTGCTCAGTAGTTTAGATTTTTAAAAAATGTTTTTATAAATAATTAAATTTTAAAAATAATTCTGCACATAGACATTAAAGCAGTAATATAATTTACAATAATTGCTCCGATTCCTGTGCTACCTCACTCCTTAAAAAAAAAAAAAAAAAAAAAAAAAAAAAAGAAAAAAAGAAGGAAATTGTTAACCATGCCACGACATAACGAACATTTTGGTTGTTTTTCCGCAAATTTTTTAAATCGAGGTTTTCGATACGACGAACCCTCGATGTAACGAACCAATTTCCCCGGTCCTTTGGCATTTCGTTAAATCGAGGTTTCACTGTAACACGTCACTCTGACCCATAACCCGTTTGCCCTTTAATTCCCAAAGGTGATTAACATGTAATTTCTCCTAGTATAATATCCATACATTATCCAGCAAACAGATAATGAGAATAATCAAACTTATCACTTAGAAGTTGCTAACACCAAGTTCTCGTTCCTCCGGGATTTATAAGAAATGCGTGTAGCAGCTAAAGGGGAGAATTAACAATCAGATCTTGGCCGTCTCAGCTCCCGAGTCAATGTTTAACGCACAAAGCGTAGAAAAATTATGAAATTTACTGGATAACATATGCGATTGCCAAAATATAATTTTTTTAATCGGATTTACAAAATCTTAACTTGAAAGATTCATTTGATGGGCTTTGTAGATGAGCTTCAACACTTTATCAATTTTTTTTCAAGAGATTATAATTTCTTGATAATTTTTTTTCATCATCAGTTTTCTTCTCGGAGGGTGTTAATGGAGTTATCCGACAGCCTTACAACAGCCAAAAATTTAGCCGTTAGCCGTAGATTGGCCAAAATTAGCCGTAACGTTACGTTAGCCGTAAAAGCCATCACCCCATTGAGACTCTTCCAGAGGAAGGTTGCTTTTCTCTATTTCAAAGAACATCAATATCGGCTCCTGTATCAACTAAACTGCTTCTATATTCATCTTTCACTAATTTCTTCCGATTAGAAATGAAAGCAAATCTGTCTTACCTCCTACTGTAATTTTGTTGGGATTCAGTGTTGGACCTTAAAGAGAAAAACACAAGAAATTATCTAGATGGAAAATGCTTTTGTAATGCAGATTATCTGAGGGCACACACATCTGAATCTTTCTATTCACGTCCTGACAGGATTTTGAACTCCCAGCTGTCTCAGTTAAATACTTTAAGCAATGGTAAAGGAAACATTGCACCTTCGTCAGAAATAACTTTTTGTGATGGCAAGTATGAAATTACCATCTTTTCCCTCCTTATTTGCCTACCTCAGCAACTCCTACTTAAACTGACATCACCTCAGTTTGTCGCACACAACTAGTATAAAAGAACTTTGCTTCCCAGGATACCGCTATAAATCACATGCGTACTTGTATTTTTAAAACAACTCAAATGGTCGCAAATGTTTACTTACTTCCGACAAATAGGTGCATTGTAAAAGGGTTCTTGCCACAGTCATTTATTGCGACACAGGTGTAGAAGCCGGCGTCCTCTTTCTTGGCTCTTTTTATCTTTAGGTATCTGTAGAGTTTTAACCTCAGACGTTGATGACTCGATGGACTGAGCGTCTGATTGTCTTTGAGCCAGTAATACCTTGGTTTTGAGGTCTGACCAACGGTTCTGATCTGGCAAGTGAGTTTAACATCCTCTCCGCTGGTCACCTCGATGACTTTTATCTCGTTTCCTTCCTTTTCACGAATGTTAGGAACTGAAAAAGAAGCAAAATTTTTGTGAGTTCAACCCGAAATACCAAAGATGCCCTTCCTGATCCATCACTAAGATTCACATTACTCGAACACCCGCAATTGCAATATTAATGCTTACATACTAAATTCAGTGTTCTTACTAACGGCTCCCTCATCAGGCGAGCAAACGCGGAAACCCTGACATAACTGTGACGCATCCATCAGCTGACTGCGTCACTTTCCATCGCCAATACTATCATAATTATATACTGACTGACAGGTCACATTTCAGAATATACGTTATGAAGTTCACATACTTCCATAAACACCGGTAACCTGCCCTGTATGATGATTTTTCCACTTCTGTCAATTCCAGTTTTCCAATGAAAGAAAATTCGTAAGTCCTGGTGTTGTACGTTAATAATCTAAATTCACGTTATATCAATCTTTATTCCATGTACCTGATCAATTTTTGAATACAGCGATGATTTGGCCAATGAGAGCCTACAGGGTAAGCAAAAAATCTAACAAAAGCTATCAAAAAGTCGATGATACCTGACTTGAACTTATTTCACGAGATGGAACCAGCTCACTATCTGAGTGAAATTATTTGATTTATGCTTCATTAGAATATATATCTCTAAAAATCGTCTCTTAATGAGTTCGTGGCTGGAACTCCTCTCGGCTAACGAGCTGATTTCAAATGAATAAAGGGGGTTAATTGCTAAAGAAACTATAGTGCTGCGTCGGTGGGAGAGTATAGCGTCAATCGCTCTGACGAAGGGCTAACGCTCGAAACGTCAGCCTTTAAACTCTTCACGGTGGCCAATTCACATTATCAACTCAGTTGATAACACTAAATTACCCTGAAAATCATAGTCCCATTTAAATGAATGAAACTTTGTTGACGGTCTAATTAGGAGTTTTGGATTTTGCCTTTCACCACCCCTGCCTTTTCAGAGAATTTGTTTTCTTTAAAGCTTAGGATGCAAACCTAGAACTTAATAATCAAAACATATGTTAATAAATACAGAAAGAATCTTTCAGTTTCATGTTCGCCTACAACACTGGGGTAATTGTTCAGTCGAGTCAAAATTTGTTTACAAAAATAAACGTGAATTTATTCGACGTAACTAGAAAATCCCATCGTACACACCCTATACATCTAAGCCGTACATTAAAATTGCAGAGAAAGAGACAATATCGGAAGCTTTTTTTGGCGACACAAAGCACAAATTGATAATGATATACGTTTACATCATCAAGTTTGTTTTGCAATCCTTAAGACTTCCAGACTCCTCGGTAAACAAAATAGTTGCTATCACAAGGACGTTATCATTTATGGAAATAATAGTTGTTAGCTGCTGATTTCATACTTTTCTTTTGGAAGATCGTAAATCCCCGTCTTCATAACCTCCTCTTGACTGAAAGGCACAAAGTTTGGCGAAAATGGTGTGAGTCTTTTGAATGAAACCAATTTAAATGCAGAATGCAGTCGATTTCCGCTTGAATAGGAAGAGTTAAAATTACTAAACATGCCGCGTATCCGGACTTTTATTTTGAACCTGGAATTCCTACAAATGCGACAAAGAAGAAACTTGGACCATTATCTACTCTTTTTCGATATCATGGGTATGATATGATGATATGATGGCCTTGCTGCCAGGCAAGTAAGGCGAATTCTTTTTTAATGGGCTACCTGAATGATCATGATGGACTTATTCTTGTTTAAGATCATTAATTAACGTGCAACAATCCACAGTCAATCTAAATATCTTGATGTTGTTTCATCTAGGTATGTACACATGGTCATGTTCAATTCAATGACTAAACTATAGTTGCTTTAATATTTGGATTTAGAGATAACGAGAGATTTTATAAAGTTTCTCCCGAATAAGGCTAGGATACACTTAGAGCAACAATACCCTTATTCTTGACAGCGGATAAGAAGGAACGTGGATTCACACCAACCTGAACACGCATCTGCGTGCCAATTATCCAGAAAGCCTAGGACAGCAACAAGAATCGCTTTGAACAGGAGAGCACTTAGTATCATGACGATGAAAATACTCCTGTTTTGGGTGATCTCTTGAACAGCTTCCTTGAACAGTTTTAATTGTAATTTCGTCTTGAGCCCGTTCAGGAAAAGGAGGTGATTGACTGTCAAACAGAGCAGAATTTGGAGCAACCGGATGCTACAGAAGCCAGCGGATTTCCTACTCAGACTGATTTCCAAGCCCTTAAGGTCAAAGATAATGTCATTATTTGAAAGTCATCGCTAGATCACGCACAGAATCATACCACAATCAAAACATCGAGGTTACATAAAAGTCAAAAGTTGCAGACAGTCAGTAGTGAACAAGGTCCCAACGATTCTTACTTATAATAATCACGATATATTACTAAAAAAAACAAATCAGCTTTTACTATTGGCACGCAAATACAACTTCTACATTGTGGCGAGATGGGCTGTTCTGTCTTTGAAGCCTGCTACTGAATGCGTCCGTGGGAACAGCAGCGTGTCAAACCGAAACCAAAACTTCAGCGAGAACAGTTTAACTTCACAAATTTCACAATCTATCTTAATTGGCTGAAGTAGTTCAAACAGTCAAACTTACTTAAAAGGCACAACTGAACAAAATGCATAACTAGCTTAATTGTTTCAACGAAACAAAATGCATAACTCAGCAAAACAAGTTTCCGATACCGAGAACACCAGAACGCCAACATAAAACGCAGGAAACTGATATTAACAAGTTATAAGTACTGATTGAATAAAAGCGTCACTTCCGTTTGATAATGAGGAGGGTTCACCAGAGTCACAGAAAGAATGACAGGTTTATTTTCTCACACAAAGAAAAGCTTCCCGAATAATAGACAACCGGCATACAAGGCGAAGTCTTAAAAAAAACCTAGAAGCATATCTGCACGTACTCAGGCTCTTGTAATGGTAAAATCTAGGTTTTTATTCACACCTATATTGTACAAGTTTTACGTGCAAGTAAAAGGCATGCGAAAATCATTTAAAAGGCATTGGGAAATGTTATCGCTTATGCGCAATGTTTTCATATGGTTTTCAATGATTCCTTGAAGCTTAAATGTAAAAACTCTTGTAAGCAAGCATGCACACTAAAGCCTTGACAGTAATTTGTGATTGGAACGACCTAATTAAAACTCAGGCCTCTAAAGGGGCACTCAATGAGGAGAGTGAGTTAAGAGGATTTGAAACAAGGGTCGTGAACTTCATCAGAGTCTTGAAATCAACATGGTATACCTTAGACCTTTCTGTGATGTGTTCATTTGTGATTGTAATTCAAGTATGGGTATAGAAATTGTTGCCGTATTTCGTCAACGTTTCGTGAGGTAATGATGTGTTTAAATAAGTTTTCTACATACGTTCTGCCACAGATTTAATTAGGGAGTCACGACAGCTATGCCTGGGATAACATCGCTCAAAAAAAAACTTCCCTTTTTCCCAAAAATTTTTCGAGTAGCGCATATGTTTGCTGTCTTAAACGGCACCAGATCTTTTCTGTCAGCAAAACGTGAGAGGGGAGCGTAGAGTTCGAAGCAGAAAAGTGGATAATTTGCCCAAGGGGTTCCCACTTTCAGACTGCGCAAAATTTTAGAATTTTATAAGTGATTATGAAGGATAAATTCGTATCGGCACCATAATTTAGGAAGGTTTTGTGAACACATTATCAGTTTACAACTCGTGAACCATTTCTGTAATCTACTTGGATATTTTCTTTTGAATTAATCGAGTCACACTCTCGGAATTTCATCAGTAATTTACAACGATAAATCCGTATATGTAGCCGAGTGAAGCACACGTTAAACTTTCCATATGATTTTAGGAAACTATATTTAATTGACTCTCGATAAATTGACCTGCTATAACGCGTTGATTTTATCATTTTGTAGCCCCAAAAGCCCGGCTTATGACTCTCGAGGTACTGAACTTGATTTGTTACACAAGGCACCCTTGAAGAAGGAAGGTTAGAATAAAATGATTGCTTTTACGACCGTACATTGCACCCAGTTTACATAATTATGTAGATAATTGCTTAAAAAATACCTATTATAGCTTTCTTCAGAAGCAAAGACACGTAGGTAATATGCTTCTGCTTTATTTTTATTGTAGGGGGTTTCTTTTTGTGTAACATATATCCATTCCTTTAATTTCCCCCATAACCTGCCTGCAAATAATTAAGTTTTATGTTTTAATTCAAGAGCGGGAAGATAAAAAAGAAATGTGGCAGAGTTCTCTTTACAGACTGAATTCAGGTGAGAACATCAGTAAACTAGTTGATGTCATAGGCTCCTCCTGAACCTTTTATTTTATTGCCCTAGTCTTTTTCACAAAGCCTCTCTTATATCTCTGTGTGCCAGCCAGTGATTAATATCTCAGTGAATAGATATGCCATATTTCATCAGTCTCTTTAAATTTCATCTTTAAGTTTTTTTGCATTTACTATTTTAAAATTCATAAATGGCATTCTCTTTTCATCCATGTTAAGAGATATTACACATTTTTTACACTAAAATCTGAATCATGAAGTCAACTTAATTTCAGTGACTTTGAAACGTCATTGTACATAAGAACACTTTACTGGAGTATGTTACATTTATTTGCTGTCTTTCTGGTACATTTAACTTTCAAGATTTTATTAGTAATTCTCTTTACTGTCTGGATCAACCAATTATCCTCTAACTGATATTTTTTTTAAAATTATCATTACTCGTCTGCTTGATATTGTACTGATTGTAATGATAGTGTAAGGAGAAATTCTGTCTCGGTCACTAGTGGGACTAAAACAGTTAAAATGTGGGATTTCATTATATTGTAATGATTACAAATTTCTTATGCTTTCAAATGTAAAAAAAAAATTTGATGAGAATCTGATGTTATGGAACGATGGAAAAACCTGTTGCTGGTAGCTTATGCCTTTAATGTTTAAATATTCATTGGAAATGCTTTTCTTTGAAAGCAGGGATACAGAAGTTTTTGAAGCTGGTAGAAATAAGCTGTTTGCAAGAAATAAAAAGCAAACTGACAATCATACCTTAATGCTTGACATGCTTCACTCAAACATGTCAGTTGTGTGTACCTACCATTGTAGAGATGTCTTTCATGAAAAATTTTTTTTTGGTGTGGCTGTTGTTCTTTGTTGATCTTTGTTGCCAAAAAAAGCTGGTAAAGGCACTCAACTTCAATTTTTATGTACACAAAGTACCCTCCAAGGTGGAAGAATAGAAGACCATAGACCAATGTTTACCAGGCACTTGCACTCACCACAATTATAATATTCAAGCAATACTCTACGTATTTAAAACTGATTACCTAATGTCTTCAACCCATTACACCCTAATATCAGCATGCATATTCTCCATACATTTCCCGATGTGCTGGGAAAGAGAATTTGTTCAACAATCAAGAGGTTCTTCACTTGATTACCATTTCCTTTATTCTCATGACCTTAATGCTTGATTTAGGGATGATATTGAAAGGAAAAATTAGATACTAGTCACTCTCTGAAGGTAGAAGAAATTATCACAGAATACTTAAGAAAGGAAACTTGAATTGTGCTAGCCAATTTCCTCTATTGACCTTCATGTTTTTGATCAAATAAAATTTAATCAGTTGTAGGGTTTGATTACAATGTGTTAAATCACCAGTGTGGACTTGATTCTTCTCAGATGTCAGCTGTTAAAAGATGGATACTAAAAATAGATGACCATAAGAAAAAGTACACATCTTGAAAAAAATCACACTAAAGTAGTGGCATGATTGATTTGTGATATTTAGAATGACAGAAGCAGGAAAAACACATAGAGCTTTTTCCTATTCACTAGTAAGTTTACTAGATTTCGAATTGTACATTCAAACTGTGTGAAATTAAATTTATCCATATCATGCTTCATCATGGTTTGTTTACATGGAAAAGTAATTGTTATTGTAGCT